TCCCCTCCCTCCTCCCCCATTTGGGGGGGGGGGGTTAAAGACACCAGTGCTTTTTCCTTTCCTGTAAATTTGTTTTGCTGCCAACAATTAAACTGTTAGTTTAAAGGCATAAAATATCATTAAAATATGGAGTGATCATCCGTGTATGTGGAGGGACCCCCTTGGAAATGTCAGTCCCACCCCACTTTTTTATCAATGCTGGATCCACCACTTGTAGAGGCACTTATTACAAATTTAAACAAAGCACTGGCCACTGAGGACAAGGGGAATCTTCTGTTATGTTTGCCCCCTCTGTGCATCTGTCCTCTGTGGTAAAGTAAAATGTGTACATTTGTGTAATGTGTAAAATGTGCCAGGTTTCTACACTGTGGAACTGACATGCAGCCGCACTTTAAAAGGTCCAGCTGGAACCACTTAAAATGGCAATCATTTTGACGGTCACTGTGGCACATAATGATGCTAAGGTGGTTTGCTAATGGATGATGATGGATCAGATAATATCCGCTGCATCCAAAGCAAGACAGATACATGAATGCAGCCGTCATCAACCGGCAGCTACATGTACATGTAGGTGAATATTATCAGTGTTCCCACAAGGAAATATTTCTGCGGAAATACCAGTATGCTACTCTCTTGAAATCATGATCTTTTGTTATGAACAAATCATCAACTGCATTGAAGCCTTTATCGTCATCCAAGTTTAAAATGTACTGTGTGCAGATCGACTGTTCAGCGGACGGAGTAAACACTGTGTTGTGATTGCCACACATGTACCAGCATGTATGAAGAATCGACAGAGGAACCAACATTTTCACAAGAATTTTTTCAAATGAAACAACCATTTGGTTCTCATAATGTGGGGATGATGTTATCATGAACTGGCTCCATACAACCAAGTACTTTTGTCACCATATTCCCCTTGAGGGTAGTGGAAAAGATCTATCGGTACCTCTTCAGTGACAGATTTTCGAGTGTGAACAGCATATATTATTCAGTGCATCCATGCTAAGTACATTGTACATGTACATCTGAAAATCAGAAGGTATTTCAACTACCGTAGAACGCCACTATAATGAATATGATGGGGTCCACACAAAAAGAATTTTGTAGAGAGGTCATTCGCTATAGCAATTTTCAGCCACAGATGCACCCCTCTGAACTCTGGCCCATTCAGATGTATGGATCATAATGCAAGGAATCCTAAGCTTGCTCTATGTTGCACCCGCCCCACAAATTTCAATACACCACCAACACACACACACTTACCTTACATACCTAGTGTGGATATTCCTTTCTTTTCGTGCAGTTAAGAAAACTTGGTGAAAATACTTGTTTTTCTTGAACTGGGAAAACACAATTTCCAACTGGCTTTTTGTGCAAGGTTTCCTTGACTATTCCTCATCCTTTTATGACAGACGACCCCTACCCAAAATGCCTCTTTGTTCTTTTTCAGGGAAAAGGAAACGTCCTGTGGACGTGTGTAAGTCCACAAAACGTCTCCCTTTCCTGCATCGTGTGGACATCTTTTGTTCACAAGCCCACACTAGGTACATGTACATGTATATGTAAGGTTAGCGTACCCATGTACAAAAGTTGAAAATCAAAAGATTGAAACTATAGTACTACACTTTGTTAACTAAATACATGTATGTTCATCTCCTTTTAGATTTCACCTTTCGGATAAGCCTTCCCGGAAGCAGAATCACATCATTTAATCAAGTTTTCCTTGAGTCATCGCCTAAATATTGCATGAAAAATGCAGTACAGTTTGAATTCGTACATGTAGATCCTACGGCCAAAATGGCACTTTAGAGTGTAGCTGCAATGAATTTTTATCCTGTATAATTTTTCTGCGTACTCTTCTTCGTTGTATGAAAACTCTTACACTCTTCTACATGTGTACTTGGTTAAATGCACTGAAAAGTGCATGTTTTTAAACAGTTAAAATTATCCATGCAACTGACGGCACTGTCGCTGTGAAATCATCTACGTGTAGGGAAGACATGGTTAGTGTATACATGTATTGGTAGGTATTTCTATTCAAATTGTGAACCGAGAATTTACCTACTGGAAACATTTCTGAGAGAAGGATTGATGTTTTTTTTATTAGCACAATGAAATGCAAGGCTAGCATTAAAATGATGGAAACGAGCATTTTTTGAAGATACATGTACATGGATGTACATCTATTAATTGAAGATTTCTGCAAGTTTCAAAACAAATGCGGCTTTATCTGCACATTTACACATATTTTCTGTTTTGGCAGTTTGGTGATTTCTTAGGTCAAATCTCCCGGCTTTGTAGCAATTATCATGTAATATTTTCTGCGCCAGAGTTGCAAGTGTTGATAACCGGTACATGTACAGTACATGTACATGTATATAAATGAACATGTACAGTGTATGTGTTTGGCCGCTGGTCTATGTGGCCGCCTGTGCAAACGTACAGACTGCACCACGTGCATGGTGGATGTTCGTTGTAAGATATTCTTGAACTTTTGAGTTATGCAGTCCATATGTTTCCTTTATTTAAAGCAAATTTCTAATTGTCTATCCAAGGGGGATATTCGGTATGCCCAAATGTTTGGTACAGCAGTGTTCATGAAAGCAACGTTCCACTGTAGGCCCATGTTTATTGATATTTTGTTCATTGAAAAACTTCCCCTTTTTTTCAATACCCTCAAAAACTTGGTGTTTCACAGGATGGTACTTCACAATTGTTCAACATTTTTCCCAAAACCTGCAAAACATCAATCTAACAAATGCTTTAAAAAATGTGACGGCGTCAAAAAGAAATTTCTCTTGGGCAGGCTGGGGAGTGCTGAGCCCATTGTGGAGTCCAGTCACGTGTGCAAGTCCTTTTACTAGTCCTGACACAAGCACACAGATGTACACGGGCAAAGAATTGTTTCCATCACAGTTCATTTGAACAGCTTGTGACTTGGCTTAGCGACTGGATGGCTGGCCCATGATGATGGGCTTGTGGTGGATTTACAGGAACCTGTGATAAACTCAGCTACAGCAGGCCCACGAGGAAGGCATGGAGACAGTGTCCCTCTAGGGACAGTGTCCCTCTCTGTCTGTCTAGGAGCTCATCTAGAAACATGTCTTCAATACATGAAGTACACACTCCATTTTCAGGCCTGGAAACCCCAGATTCATTGTTACTTTTATATCTACATTCAAACATCTAATGCAGTCATTCCATGTCATTTTTGAGCAGTCATTTGTTAAAAAAGTTAATTCAAATTCAAATAGTCCTTTCTTTCAAATTCTTTAGAAGCCTGAGAAGAGGTTCATTTTCGACAAACATCAATCCATTTCAACATACTTCCATTTCAATTTGTATCTTTGGCATATCTTGCCGTCTGATTCCTACAATGTATTTGCATTTATCAAAGAGGATATTCTGTAGAAGGATACAAGAACAACCCTTCTTTTCATGTTAAAACCAGTAAATCTTCTCATTTTGCCGTTGGCGTATGCTTTCTGATTTACATAACCATTACCATTTGTTGACATTTGGAACTTCTAACTTGAGACCTCGTTGGTCAATGCACACATTATGCAAGTTGATCGTGCTATCTCCAAACACATTTTTGAATGGCCGAGTCCAAATTTCTTGGCTGTCTCTTTGTTCATGACATCAAAACCGTGTCACAAATGTACAAGTTTCTCTGATCAAATATCTTGTCAAATTGTCGGTTGCATTTTAATATTTTTGAACTGTGGAAACAGCCATCACTGATGGCTGAAATTTTAAAACGAATACGCTGATCTTAAAACTCTGATGCTTAACATGTTTAGTTTCTTTTTGGGCCTCATTTAATGCACCAGGTTAAATCTAATTACCTCATCATTGACGGTTAATCCCTTGGATTTGGCGTGTTCTCTGTCACATCGATGTAACTTGTTGTTATACCCCTCTTGCTTGTGAAACAATCTGTCATAGGTTGAATGCGGTCCCGACTGACAAATGAAAATAGAGTTCACTGAAATTAGCTTGCACTCTTTCAACTCAGCAATCTGCATTACAGTGGATTGTCAGTAAAAGATGTTCAGAGAGAGGAATCCCAGGTAATGCACCTTTTAATTATCTGACCACAGAAATGTCACAATCAACATTTCCATGGGTGTTTTGATTACACACTCAGGAAAAAAATTCTTGTTAGACAAACCTACGACGGAGCATTAAAGAATGGATTTATCTCTAGCTCTGGGCGTCAACCCACATTTGTTTTTTTCCGCGAAAAATTTGAAACGGTGCTCATTTAAATACTAAGTGCAGGCACGCTGTGAAGCAACCCTATGAGAATGGTCTGAAAATTCTAAGTGTTTTCTAAGCGAATATTTGAAATTATTCACCCTTTAATTTGACTCTTTAGGACATATTATTGCTTGTAGATGGCTAATAGTTCATTGCAGGCAAAAGCTTAGCGGCATCCATATGTAATTCTTCCCAAATTGCCAGAAATTTGCCAACAATACATGTACATTACAATAAAAACGATAGGGTTGTGCTTGTTCCAGTTACAAAAATAAGGTGGTATCAACTTCTGGTTTGAAGGTACGTGTATCACAGAACTGTGATACCACTCATTGTAGTTAATGAGATACCAGTTACATCTGGAAGCAAAAGATTGTAACTTGATACAATCAATTCAATAACGACATCATACTCATACGCACATCTTGGGATCAGGTTTATATTCATACCAAGTTTCAAGTTGCTTCTACTTCAATGAGTTTTAATTTTGCATGACAGATTCTTGACAGTTAAAGGCAGTGTTGGAGTACTTGTACTCGAGTACAACTTGAGTATGCAAGAGTACTCGGCCCATACTCGATTATCGGTACTCAAAAATTAATTGTACTTGGCCCATACTCAATCCTTTGTACTTGGATTTTGGGGGTACATGACCCTTAGTTATATCATAGATCTATTGGTACTTGACCCAAGTACTCTAGAAAAAAATTCAAGTACTTCACTTTTATGGCTAGCATTTTCAGGTGCTGGTGACGGGCAAGGATTGCATTGCTCAACCTTGAACACATGTACAACTCAACACAACACAGCAGTTTCACTCTGTAGTCTGTAACACATACGGCCAACAGAATGCTTACCGTGCCCTGGGTACAAGAAACTTTCTAGTTGTCTAGTTTCTGCCTCCACAGCTTGTACTATAGGAAATCGTGGTGTTGATATGAGCCAAGCTTGGGCTCTGTGAGTATCATATCTTTTTCCCATGATGCACGCACATGGACTGACAATTCAGTTTTATTGCACTTTTTCATAGCTTTCCTACAGTTGAATATGTTCACAATTTCTAATTATTATAAAGTGAGCTTATGAGGATCATTGAGAATTCAGCAAGAAAGGGCAAAAAAAAAAACCCAAGCTGTCACCGTCATTGAATGCAAAAAGAGAATATCGGAGAAGAGTGGGACAATATGCACAAATGTAAAAAACGTCACAGTGTTGACTACTCGGTAAAGGCAGTTGTTGCACAGTGTGTTTGTTTTAAGTTATACATGGACAGAAACGGCAGAAACCGCCCTTCCGTTGAGGAAGATGTTTACAGGAACATCAAATCAACTGTAATTGATTCTTTGAAAGCTGACTGAATACTCCTCAGGATCTTGAAGAGCTTGCCAAGTGTTCTAAAACTACAATACCGACCGGTACATGTAGAAAGCATCTTCAATCAATATGCCCTGAAAGTCTAAAACAGTTACAGTTAGGCCTCAACGGCCTTGGTTTGATCAAGAAATTAAGTCAACAGTGAGGCAGCATAGAAAGGAGGAAAAAAGTGGCGGCATACTTATAAGGTTTGTGATCTAATACAAGATTCAAAGAAATAAGGTCACCTCCCTAATGAGAAAAGCCTGTTGCAATTTTCACCAAGAATTCACTGACAGTAAGAGTTCCAATCAAGTGAAGTTATTCAGAATATCAAAAAGCTACTGAAGCATACCAATGATGTTCCTTTCCCACTGTACGCCAATAAATTATCTCTTACTAATGACATGGGTAGCTTCTTTGGTAAGAAAATAGCTAATATCAATGTTAGACTTGATAATTTAGCATTAGCCACAACAAACAGAACTTCTCATTCAGCACCTGAATCACCGTTGTCTTGTAGCATTCTGTTTGACCAATTTCAACCACTAACTGCATGTAGGTGACAAGTAGAACAACTTCTGAAATCCAAACAGAAATCATGTGAACTGGATCCAATACCTACTGCGCTGGTGAGCGACTGCCTTGATGTGTTGCTTCCAGTTATTACAAGAATTTCCAACTCTTCCTTAGAATCCGAAATGTTTCCAAGGGACAGGAAAGAAGCTTTGGTCCGTCCCTTGCTGAAGAAAGATAACCTCACTCCGATTTTAAAAAATTATTGACCTAGTAGTACTCTACAATTCATTTCTAAATTGACAGAGTGCGCCCTGTGTAATCAACTTTGTGCTAACCTTCTGTTTCCAGAATTTCAATCATCCTACAGGAAGTACTTTAGCACCGAGACGGCTCTCCTAAAGGTAAAAAATGATATACTGCTGAAAATGAACCCTCAGCAGGTCATTTTAAGCACTTGTTCTTTTGGACTTAAGTGTGGCCTTTGATGCAGTTAATCACACCATCTTATTGCATTGTTTAGATTCCAAAGTTGTCATCTACATGTACAGGTACGGCAAAGCTCTGGCCTGGTTTTCATCTTATTTATCTGAGGGGAGCCAACGTATTTCTATTCAAGGTACTCTGTCAGAAAAATTTGATCAAAACTGTAGTGTCCTCAAGGGTCTTGTTTAGGGCCATTTTTGTTCACTGTTTATGCTTCTAGACTGTTTGACATCATGGAAGACCATTTGCCTGACATTCATTGTAATGCACACGACACACATTTGCAATCAATGTTTTTGATTACAAATCTGTAAAATGCACCTTTGTGCCTCAGTAAACCTCATTTTCAACTTTGGTTTCACTATTTCAAAGGGTATTTTAATGCCTTTTTGCTCTGTATGCTAATGATTATTTCCACATTCATGAGAAAAACTGTGATGTCATCTCAGGAAAGCCTCAATGTTACATACTGTAGGTTTGTGCACAAAAAGTCCTGCTCTTTTGCAGATTTTTCTGGACTAAGTTTTTTCTTCTTTGCTGATTAATCGTTGTTTATGTACATAGCAATTGGAAACCATCAGTTCCTCTCTCAGAAATGTTTCCAGTTAGTAAATTCTGGGTTCACAATTTGTACAGAAATACCTTTGCACTGAACCATGTCTTCCTCAGATGACTTCACAGCAACAGCACCCTCATTTGTCCGGGAAAGCATGGATAATTTTGATTGTCTAAAAGGGTGCACTTTTCAATGCCTTTAACCAAATAGGGTTGTGTAAATGTTTCATACATTGAAGTAAAGTACAAAGACGCAGGAAAATTGTGTTGAAGAAAAATTCATTGCAGCTACACCTTAAACCTGATGACACTTCCTGCCAAACAGCTGTGGCTGCAATGGAAAGTTGTATTCAGGACATCAGAAATTGGACGCTGCATGACATCAGGAATTTTGGATCATGGTTCGACTCGGAAATGACAATGGACTCCCACATCACTAGGGCTTGTTCTCCAGCATCTTTCCGCCTTCACAATATTAAGCACATCAGTAAATTCCTCTCTCACGATTCTCTTTCTGTGTTAATTCATGCATTCATGACCAGCTGTCTAGACTACTGTATCAGTCTTTTGTATGGTTTGCCAACAGCACAGATAATGAGATTACAGCGAGTCCAAAATGCTGTGCAGCTAGACTTCTTACGAATACACCCAAGTTTCAACACATCACACCAATACTGCATCACTTTCACTGGTTACCTGTTTTGTATAGGATTAACTTTAAAATCATTTTATTACATACTGTACAAAGCCATTTATGGTCTTGCTAGTAGATATTTACAGGATCTTGTCATTATGAAGAAGAAAGTCTAGATATCATCTCAGGTCAGTAAAGAACGGCCCTTTGGTAAGTTATCCTAGTGGTAAAATGTTAGCCACACTTGGTGACAGGGCATTCGCAATGGCTGCTCCTAAGTTATGGAATGCCTTGCCATGGCACATACTGTACATGTACATATTGTACGGAGCAAACAGAGCCTTGCTGTTTTCAAAAGTAAAGTTAAAACTTGTCTTCATAATGATGCATTTGCACAATGACGTTTCACTGCAAGATATTTGATTTTTATCAGTTTTATCCTGTGCCTTTAGTATTTTTACATGTAGTTTTAATTTACATGTGGGTTTAGCTATGATTTCCTAATTTTAGTGTCGCTGTGTCAAGTAATTAACTCTACAGCGCAGGTAGGTTAGCGGCATCTGTCCCCTTGAAAGATTGAAACATCACTGATGCCAGCAGGATTAGGTCTAGGTAAAAATTTTCCTTCTGGTGGAGGGACAGACGTACCGGTAGGCCTATCCCAATACTGCTGTTTGGGTGCTAGTGCGGTGACATTCATTCATACTTAAATATCCATTAATTTCTTTATGTTGTATCTGTACTGCATTTTTGATCATTTTTATGGAAAACGGCACATTATAAATTATCAATCATTAGTACTATGTACAGTAGATATATTCACTCATTTCATTTGTTTATACTTGTACACTGCACAAGTATATGGACTCAGACTTGTACTCGGACTTTGCAAAGTTCCCAGCCTTGAATGTAAATGCATTCGGTGCCTTGGACTTGGACTCATCACTAGGAGTAATTGCAGAATAACCTGCCACTCTAAAAAAAAACAACCCTGGAATGACTGGTTACGTGGGTACGAGGTGAAAACTCCTTGAGAAGAGTGTGATACTTTGACCCGTGCCTGGCTATGAGGGTGATTATGCCAGGTGGCCGGTGGCAGGATATTCTGCCATTGAGCTTTTCAGGTTATAGCCAAGTAATTCTGGCCCAGCCTAGCTATTCCGTTGCAACTAGGCCAATGGGGCAGCACGAACATCCGGGAGTTTCACAACATTGCGGGTAGCAACCACAAGTATCACACCAATGAAACTTCTGCAACAAGCGCGTGTGTACGTACTGATCAAAGAAAAGACTGCATAACCCAATCCTCGGGCTGGCTCAGTTGTGTGTACGTCGCCATGGTCACTGTTTTCACCGGCACATGTGCCTGTCATTTTGCGAGAATCCCTGATGTCCGTGTTGCCCCATATACAGTGATGATATCCCAATAAGCCAATTTCCCATTCCATCGCCATGTTGATTTTAGCGCCCCTGACCGAGTAAGTGAACGATGCTTGAGGGGAACAAATTGTCGCAAGCATTCATTCGCCAAACATTACACAACGTTGTCATGAACTTGTTCCCCTCAGTTATGCCTAAGTCTTCTGAGATTGCGCAGAAGGCTTACACTATTTATAGGGCACTGTGTAGTCCAAGTAACTAGGACTCCATGAATCGCTTCTTAACATTTGGACATGGTCGGCGATAGTAGAGTCCTCGGGTTCTAGGCCTAGTTAGGGCCTACCATGGTTAGGCCTATGCAGGGTAGCGTTGTTGAAGTTGAACAGAAGCAGAATTATCCCTGACATTGACAAAAATATGTATAAAGTGACCCTAAATAGTGTGGAAAAGGCTCAGAAACGCTTGCAGCACGCTAAAAATAACTAGACTGAAGTGGACCATGGAGGTAGACACTCCATGATTAGACCATTAGACCCAGGTTGTAAGGTTCACCATGACAAATCGTGCTTGCTGATTGTGAAAACGTCACTGTCGAACTGTTTACCTTCTGTTTACTATTGAACACTGAGTGCTCCTTCGGATCGTCTCGTACTGTCGGTACGTAACTGAACGCTGATTTTGCTGCTATTGGTTCACCGTTGTCCATAAGACCAGGGTGACGATTAAGATCACCTCCCTGTTCGTTCAGCCTTTCTAAAACTGCGGTAACAACGTTCATTTTGAGCCTAATTTGTGAGAAAATGTGCCCACTCAGCTCAGACCACGAATGAGTACATGTACGTGTACGGATTATGTGGCTGGTTCTCTGCTAGGCCTATAGTAGGTTTGACATGTAAACTGAGTACCAGCGATTACTGCGGCGCCTATAGCCTAGCCGGCCGGCCCAGGCCTCGACGTGTTGTGTACTGTAAGGGCGTGGCGTAACTAGGGAAGGATACTTTGTACTGAATATTTAACAGCAATCAATTACGCGTCCAATAAGCTTTCGCAGAAACGTTCCCAAGGCAGGCGCAGCTCACATTCTGCGTATCGTCCATGAACAGGCCTATCCCTTCCCGTTTCTAACGTTTATATACCCTTTTGCCTCTTATTTTTAATAACCTACTGCTTTATGATTACTGACACAACTGAGCTTCGTTGCAGGGGAAACATCTGACAACAGTCGCAGGCTGTGGTGCGGAGGGACCAATATTCATTGATCCAAGCTGTTGGTTAACCTTCGAAACACCCACACATTCTCCCCAACGACTTTTTAGTTACTTCATGCTCCACTACATTCCACCTGATGCCTTTTTAGTCAAACACTCAGATCACAAATATTCTCCAACTGACGTATAAAAGCTGTTTCCAGTTTATAGATTCGAGTAGATCGCATCTCTCCAACTGGCACATCAGTCTGTTATTCGCGTATGTGTTGTAGAACCATCCGGTGCAGTTGTTTGGACAAGTTACAGTCCTCACTGGGTGAGTTTTTTGGTAAATCTGTGATTTGATGTCTTGTTGGAGAATATTCATACTCAGTATCGCACCATGTTTAACTTGAACATGTCCCCAAAGAAGTACATATACGAATGTTGAAACGGCACAAAATTTGACTGTATAACAAATTACATGTGTAGATACTATTTTGGCTAGCCACTATTAAATAACTAGCTTTGCATTCCTTTGTCGAATTTCGGTAGCTCTGCATTTCCACTTTCAAGTTATTCTTTGTGGAAATTTTTTCAAACGATGGTGGCTTCTTACCAATCAATCCCTTTTTATAAGAGTTCGCCGTGTTCCAAATGATAGCAGGAGTATGGCGCCTAAGGACGGTGTGTGGGGATGGTTTGTAGTGGTAAGCGCCTTCATGGCTCTCTACATTCGGATGTCGACCACGAAGGTCTTTGCTGTACTCCTCCCAAGCATTCGTGACGATATGCAGCTCGACACATGGGTCGTCGGCTCACTCATAAGCGTCATGTTGACCCTCTCCGACTTTACAGGTGAGTAGTTTCCGATTTTGCTTGAAGCTGTGAACAATTAAAGCCTAACAGTATCCTTCTAACTTACAAAATACATGTTTACCTAGCTTTTACATGTCACCCAGGGAACGGGCTTGCAGTGGTCGTCGAAATTTTACACACACTTGGACTGAAATTGTTCATTTACAGGTTTTGAGACTGTGCCGATTATATTTAGTGAACCTGAAAATAAAGTATGAAAGTACACTTAGCTGATTGATAAGCTTTAGAAGAGGAATCCCGGTAGTTGACAAGAATAAATAAATCTTGTACACTGTACTAAACACACTTAAAGTGTATACTTCCTACAACAGCTGTACATGAACAAGTAGTGTCGCAGTACAGGGGCAACACTCCACCAGTCCCTCTTTCTTTTCACACTTAGTCTCACCGGGAACCAAAACCTGTAAATTCCACTGCCAGTTGCAGTGCTACTAATAAACTAAACATAATTGCAATGGATTTGTACGCACACGCCCCACGAGGTGAGCTCCCACCAATGGACTGCGTTTGGCATTTCTTGTTCCCGCAAGTTGAGCCTTCTATTTATTGCGGTTCACAAAAAGATTTAGCACAAAATTAGCGCTCTCTCTTAAAAAGTAAAAAAGGATCACTTCTCAGCAAGTGTAACTACGCGTACCACTGTACTGCGGGGCCTCTTCCCACAGGTCTCCCTGCGGCCTGGCTGTGCATAAGGAGCAGTCATCGTTTGGTTGTCATGACTGGTGGCTTGATGGTATGTGTCGGTATCATCTCTTGCTCTTTGGCGATTGGGACGGTCCACCTTCTCCTGTCAGTCATCGTAACGGGTCAGAAAGAGATCTTTTCTTCATCCCTCATCGTTTACGAATTCCATAAGCCTAAAATGTACCCCGAGACATTTTCTCCAATATAGTTTCAATGTATTATTCTATTCCGCGCCGAGCCATCAATAATGTCTCGTGTCATTTTTGCATAACCTTTTGTGAATATCAGACATACGTTTTGGCAAAACGTCAATTTTTCCGAGACAGGTCAGCCAAAAATGTATACCTTTCCCATTGGTGTCTTCAATACACCTTGATTGGCATGCGTGAGGCCAAGTGACAATTTCAATATAACCATGCTGAAATGAATTGAAATTTCGCAGATGTATTCATAATGAACGTGTTTATATGCGAACCAAGATTTAAAAACAATCTATTGTCGAAAAGTCGAATTCTTAGCAGAAAGAACCCCCCTGCTTTGAAAACGTGCAACTCCTTCAGGGTTGAAACGCCTTCCCCTTTTGGAGCCTTTTTTGTACAAAATTACTGTTGAATTGTTTGAAATCTTGGATCTTCTTTACAATAAATGCACGTGGAGTACCACGGAAAAGGAATTCCTTCATGGAAGTACCGACGGGAAAGGTTTCGCTTGAAGTCCGCCACTGTCCAAAATACATGTCCAAAATGCAAGACAATCTCCAAAAAATACAAGACAATTTCCTGTTCATATCCTACCTTTCTCTCAGTGCCTTTCCCTATAATGACTTCAACTTTTTTCCGGTTTGTCTCAGGCATCGGCATGGGTCTGGTTGAAAATCCCCCCCTTGCTATGATCGGCAGCTACTTCCAAGCTCATTATGCCACTGCAACCAGCTTGGCATTGTCATCTTTTCCCCTGGCTGTGGTATCATCTCCCCCTATGGCTCAGCTGCTTCTAGATACCTACGGATGGAGAGGAACTCTTCTGGTATGGGGTGGAACTACCCTTCACATTGTGGCTTGTGGGGCAGTACTTCGGCCTGTTGTAGTCAGCAGCGGCGAGGAAAGGGGGTGCGTGCATATTGCATCAGGTGATGAGGGCCATTCTAGAGATGGAAAAGCCCCGGTTTCCCGGTTACGAAAGTTCATTCAATCAAACCACCTGGGTCTCCTCAAGAACCTGAGTTTCTTCACCGTTGTCAGCGTACTGTGCTGCGAAAGGTTGGTGTTTTCAGGGTGGGTGATATATCTCGTCCCCCACGCCATTCAGGCCGGGTTGTCCCCTTACCAGGCGGTCTCATTACCCTCTGGTACTGGCGTGGCAAACTTGCTGGGCAAAGCGGTGCAAGGGGTCTTAATGGATTGTAAACTTGTTACCAGTACCACTCTGCTCTTCGCCACTGTTGTCACAGCAGGCTTGAGTCTGATGCTAGACCCACTCAGTGATAGCTTCGCGGCCATGTTTGTATTGGGGGTCACTTACGGTCTAGCAGTCGGCACGTTGTACCCGTTGGGAATGACGGTTCTCAGGGACCTGGTGGGAGACGAGAGGTTCATGATAGCGCTAGGATGGTGTGCTGTTTTTCTTGGAGTGTTTCGATTGCCCATGGGATTCTTTCCAGGTAAGCTATATGTCTTAGCCTTTTTAATACTGACTTAAGCATGTGATAAGCAACAGCTAAATCCACAAAGCAAGCATGACCCAATGTTGAACTGTTCAATAGACCTATTTGACTTTGATCGGTCGTACTTGCTCCAAAGCAAATTGACCAATACATGTACATGTATTTACTTGAACAAAAGTGACAACAAAGAGTTGACAAAATGCCTTCAACAATCACGTATCTGCTTTTTTCTACACGTCAAAGGCGAACTTATGTGACTTCAATGGTAGGCCTACCCAAGATTATTTCTTGAAGAGTAAATCAAGGGTGCATTCGAGTAGCTTCTACGAGCAACCCTCAACCGGGATGGCCGTGTGTGCTGTGTGTCAAATGTGAGACTCTGAGGACGAGACTTAAACCAAGTCGAATCCCGGAAGCTGATCGACCCACAGATACTCGACAAAATTCGTTCATTCTGCTTGATGCGCCACTTTTTTTAATCCATTGTCCTTATCACTGCGTCGTCAACGATCGTGAATTACCACCGTATAACGCATATATGTAATTCGTTTAATTTTCTTACTGCTGCATGTACTTTGTGAATCGTGACAGGGATTGTTTCTATCGTTTTTAGGTTGGCTTTATGACGTCAGCGGCAGCTACAATACGTCATTCGTCGTGCTTGGTGCTATAGAATTACTTCCAGTCCCTTTGCTGACGATTGACTTGCTTCGGAGGAGCAGGTGGTGGAGATGCCACACCAACGACCGGAGGGACGATTACGAAAGACTCAATGGGATTTCAAACGGTTCTTTAGAGAAAAGCGACGAATGACAGTGACTCCCATTGCAATGGCAATTGCAATAGTTGTGATAAGGGTAATACATCAACGGAAAACGTGGCAATGTTTTGGAAGTGCATTGTGACGATTTTAACAAACAATGTGAGTGGAAAGAAGTGGAAAGCAGCCCCGACCCCCTTCGTGCTTATCGCACCGCTCTTAAGTTAATAAATCTGACCTAAAATCACTTTTAAGTAACATTTTCATTGTTCACAAGTACCAATGTAGTTTTATTCTCTCTCTTTTTCGCTGCTTCACAACAGTACCAGAGAAGGGCAGAAGGGGGTTTGCGACCGCACCCTCCTTCCAACCTTTTGCGACACTATTAAGTGGCGTAATTGTGCGGGGGCGCACAAGGGGCACGTGCCCCCCCCCCCGCAGATGCGGCCCGTGCCCTTGGGTGCCCCCCCCCCACCTGTAAAATTGAAATCTGTGAATAATCTCCGTTGAGTTTAAATAGCTATACATCTGTAGTTTAATGTCTTGTGGTGCCCCTTGACAAAAATGTGTGCACCCCCGGGTACCCTCCTAAGGCCCTATCTACGGTATGTCACCGCTAGCGCTATTAAGTTAATTAGTCTGATCTAAAATCAATTTTAAGTAATTGGTCCTTGATGTAAACGTTTCAAGCTGTCAACAGAAACTGGTTTCATTCTGGTTGCCCACATTCTGATTGAATGTCCCATTGGCCGCATTTGGTGTCGGCGGTACCAACGAGCCTCTGTCTGATCTTGCGAAACTTTAGACTTGAGACCGTGAGGGAGTTTATTCGCAATTTTTTTTGATTTGCCGTTATCCAACTTCTGTCTAGTTTAGGCGCAGTAAAAGACTAAGGGCAGAGGTACATTGCACAAGCAAGGTGAACATAAACCTTATAGCCTGAAGTCCCACCGTTAATAGCTTGCACTTACAAAGGGGGCATGTTCGACAAGGGGAAAGGAAGAAGTGAACGAGATAAGGAGCGGGACAAATCAATGGACACTGACTCCGATGTAAATGGGGAAAGCAGAAGAACTTAAAACCACTGAATTCCCTTATCGTTTCTGAGATGCTGGAGATGTGATGAAAAGAGAGACAATGCTTCCTTCAGTCAAAAAGGGGTCATTATTTTCCTTTTCAGGCAAAGTATCAGTTTTCGGGTTTGATCCAATAACAGAGTCGACACATTTTAAGTTTCTTGAAAAACACGTCCATTGAGATTCGCTTTAGGTTCGACGCAATGTTATTCTTGGGTAGAAGTGGTTTTCAGCTAAAATCTCTCGGGATTTTTCCTTGACCATACCGTGGGCGGCTTTCTCAAATTTCCAAATCAGTACCCCACGTTTAATTCCAATGTTGTGACCAGATTCGGTAAACATGACAATTTGATCAGCGCGCACAGTATAAATTAAAAAGGGCATGATTATCAACTTCCGCACCCTAGCCAACACGACAAGACATCTTCTAGCTTGTTTTGCTTCACACCTGTTTCTATTAAATTTGACTTTTTCCTCCGTCCTATCGAAAATTAATTCGTTTCATATCGTAGCTGGCCATGAGATATTCTGATGTCCGATCCGCTTCACTAACAATGAGTATGGTACACAATTTATTTTAAGACGGTGCATGTATACGGTTTCTGTAAAGCCCATTCGAAAGAACCGCATTGTGTTGGCATAATGATGTCAGCTTAATTTTCACTAATATGACACGTGCCCTTTCGTTTCCTTGGTTACATGGATTCATATTCAGTTCCCTCAAACAAGCATTGTGTGGGTCCCTGTATAATTCTTTATACTCAAGATAACGAGCAAACGAATGCAAAAAGAGAAAGGATGTGAGATAATAACACTAGTGTTTACTTTAACACATTGTGGATGAGGTTTGGTTTATTTCAATTTTTCCTCTCAGTCTGTTTCCCTTGAAATACACAGCTGTGTGGTTTACTCAGATAAGAAGTGAAATGTTTATGTTCCAAACCTTAGCCAATCTGGTGGGAAGAATTAAATAATTGATGACAAAACGCGGTTTGGGTCTTTTGTTACGGACGTAGCCGGGTTCCTGCGAGTTCCAACGCCACCTGCTCGCTTCGTTTCAGATTCCCTGTCGCATCCTTCCCCGTCACTTTTTGGTTCTTCCCTAGATTGGCCACGTTTTGGCAACAAAACTTGTAACCGCGTTGGTCATTTGAACTTTGCTTACGGCAGGCACTGCACTGCCATGTGAGTTCCGTTGGGATCTCTGCACAGTGACGACTCCGTGATAAGTACATCACGAATCTCAATCGGCATCGCATTAGTGACATACACAACTGTAGGAGAACCAGATATTAAATCACTCTGTAATTTTCATTAATTGAATGCTTGAAATCTACACATGATTCAATTATCACTCCGAACCGCTGATAGAATTAATAATCGGTTGCCACGCAAGTCACGGCCATCCACACTGAAATGAATTTATCGCATGCCGGATTCGTCAAGTGGTTTTCAGTTTGTTTACCGTATGGAAACACAAATGCTTCTCATCAAAAATTACCTTAACTTTACACGAAACAAATTAACGGAGGAAGATTTAACCACCCGTGCCATCAGTTTAACCCCTAAAGTGAACACACTTTCCTCGGTGTACAACACTGTTCACTTAAAACGTTTTTCCAGATAAAACCAAGTTTGACTTTATTTGAAGTGGAAATGAGCCTGCTCAAGAAGGGAACCTTGTCATATTTTGCGTTAAAATAGTGCGCATCCGGGTTCTGCTAGAGTGATTATAGAGCTTTCTTTTGCCAACATCACAGGAGCACTAGTTGGCAAAACTATGGCCGGCCGTAGGAACAAAAACCCCAAAGAATTGTTCACAAGTTGTTAAAAAACATAACAAATATCAGTGTTGGAGCAAAGGCTTTGAACCTCAAGGCTAAGGCTGAGGCCCTGACCCTCAAGGCTGAGGCAAAGGCCTAGGCGTTGCCCTCAAGCCTTAAGTTAAGACTAAGACCAAGGGTTTACCTACAAGGCTAGGGCCAAGGCTCCCAAGTGTAATATTACTACTTCTGTGATACAACTTTGCCCCCGCAAGAATCACAACCCAGAATTGACATTTATTTTTTCCCAAAATATTTACTAGGGAAATTGTTGCTTGAGTATCGAATTGAAACTTAATATATTATCTCTTAAAAACTGAAGACTTCACTTACATCCAATGAGGCATTGCGGAGAGATTATAAGACTACTACTTTTCTATCCTCATGGGATCACATCACATCACATCAACTTCACTTTATTTTCCACATGATACAAATATTGTGAAGACAATAGCCTATATGGATGGAGACCCCTAAAGAGCATTGCTTGTCGAGTAGAGGTCCCCAGTAAATAAAACATTGTGTTAGATATAACAAAATATGAATATATGTTTTAATACATATAAGACGCAGCTGTGTTTGCTCCATTTAACACTAACACAAAAGACCATTGAAAATGGCCCACAGGATGAGGATACTGAGCTGAGTAGCGTTGTAATTGAAAATACCTGTGCATGAGCTACAACTGAAATTTTTAGTATAAATAGAAAACACTGTCAGCTTTAATTTGATACCATTTTGGGAGAATGAATGCAACATTTGAGTTGCATTTTGGGGAGACAAGCTGTATACAATTTATTCTTTATTACAGATTATTATGAAGTCGACACCTCTGTGGTGACAAGTAAAATGAATTCTCTATGACGTGCTCAAGATCAGACCATAGAAGGAAACCCATAATTTGACCTACATTGTAATTAGCAAAATACCTGAGGCAGTATACTTGGAGAGCGATCGGCCATTTTCAACACAGATCAGCTGATGTTCTGTCTACATGTATTCTACATGCAAGTTAAGAATAATTTCCCTCGCCTTGTGGCCACAAGCACAGTTATAATACATGCATGTAAACTTACTATAACTTTCTTTTGGGCAGCAGCAAAATGTTCTTTCAAACGTTCATACTGTAAATGTACAATACTGTAAAGTGAACAAATTTAGGGTGTTTCCTTTCTCCATGGCAAATGTGATTATCTTAAATACTGCAGACTTTGCAGCCCCCTCAAAGCTGACCCTGCAGGGTGTACACGTATGTTCGCAGAACAGCACAAATTTCAAGCAACTTTACCCGGAAAATTTATAAAATCAGAGGGCCTTGAAGAGCAAGGCTCTAAATTTACACGAAATCGACCTCTCAAGACTAAGGCCAAGGCTTTTGCCCTCACGCCTTAAGGCTAAGGCCAAGGCCCTAAAATCAAGCCTCAGGGCAGACTTAAGGCCAAGGCTCAGCATCAAAGCACTGCATCAATGACGAATATTTCAGCTAACAGATGATGCGTCCATGTAGACTTTAATTTTGTGGAAGAGCGTTGAACGCGAGAGGAACTCTCTGCCAAGCTTGGCCATCCGTACAGAATACCGATCACTGTAAACAAATGGAAGGTCTATAAAGACGTGCATGGCAAAAAGCCTAATATACTCTTGAGGAACATTATGGAACCGACACGATGCATCCAGTAGTGTAAATTTGCGCTGGGAACAAGGGGATTGGAGATTATGGGGAAGGGGATAGCTTGACCAGCCATAGAAACTTGAGAAGGGGACGACTGACGCCATACTAGGCGGCGATATTCATTCATATGTGTTGTGTTTTAGGCTCCTGCTGGACCTTATACGTCAAAACGGCGTGTTTGTGGCTTTCAAAAGTTGTTCTCCCTTTTTGAGTGCTATTGAATACATTTCGGTTATTGGGAAGTCCGAACAATTCTTCACATTCCGCCTTCCCCTAATCAAAATGTGGGAGATATATACCCCCCCCATTCCTCGCGATTTACGCCCATATGATACTCATTCTGTTAATATTACCATTGCATGCGAAATTGAAGCCTACGAGGTCAAAATGGATAATTACAGATTACCTGCAGAAGCATCCCTTACACACAGCCGCTCGACACAAGAAAGAAATCTGCCTCGTGAGCAATTGTATAAAACTGCGCCGTTTGACCCATGGGAGTTGATGACAAATTACCTGCTGCTTTCCGCGTGGCACAAATAATTATGTGAACACTACATCACAGAAATTGTGCTTCAATAAAGCCTGGGGGTTAGCGTATTTTGTTTGATTTGTGAGTTACAAGATGTTTACCATCCTAAAGATATGGAGTTTAAAAAGCTTATTCTAAATTCGCTCTTAACATTAGAAGATAATATTCCTCAAAACCCAAACACACTTCACTCGTTCTCATCGTGCGACAGGCTTGTTGCATTGAAAACCAATGTGGAATATTAATTGCCTGAGATTGATTACAATTATGGAATGCCATGACTCTTGAACGGTAATGCTTTCACTATTCGTTTTTTTTCATGTGTTGAGGGGGCTAATACATGTTGTTCTTGTTTTCATTCGAAATACTAAATTTGATGTTTTGTTTGTGACTTAAATTAGAAACGTTTATGGCGTACTCTCACGTCACAGGTAAAAAGGATATGATCTGCTGTGTTTGTAAATGTGCGCTCATTAACCAATAAAGCACATGCCTTGATCTCCAAGGGGTCTGTGTATTGCCTGAAGTGCGAAAACAGAGGCGATTCTCGTTGCTCACTAATGGACGCTTCACAAATCAGCCGTCTCATCCATTTTATTTTTTTAATACCAAAGATCCTTTCATTTTGAAACACTTCTTGCCGTAGAAATATTCACAGTAGCAGGCTATTGACTGTGAACGCCATTCACTGCAGAAATGTTGCTCCGGGAAAATAATATCTTGATGCATCAGCTTGTAAAGTTTATCTGTACCGTAGGCCTATATCGCACCTACCATACACCCAAGATGAGATAGGGTCTGAAACCAATTTCCAGAGTTACTGCTAAGTATCACGCCTCCATGTATTTGTACGCGGATACCCAGACCTAGCTCTATCGTCAGTTCAGTCATATCCTGTGTTATTTGACCACCAACTCTTACACATCGTGAATACATTTTGGTACTGTAACTGAGATACACGCGCATTTAATGTCACATGTTACAAAATAATTTCATACGACCGTGTGTCATTAAAAAGAAACTAATTTAATATTCCCTTTCTTGGTGCCGTGAAATGAAAGCTTAAATTTTAAACTAGAATTATTGTTAATTCCTTGGAATCGCCAAGAATGTATAGATACATGAAAATACGAAGGAGGGAACGAGTGTATCTGAGTGCGGATATAAATCTATAGGGTACCATGTGGAAGTGAAGAAGAATGGTGACGATTGAGAACAAGGACGAACCAAACTAATTAGAATTAACATCTCGATCAGCCCATGCCCATCTGCCAGACATTTAAAAGGATAAAATTTTCAGTTTTGAAGTCATTCTCCAGTTGTAATTAAGTATGTAATTAAGCACGTAACTCAGCAGTAAAAGGCGATCTTTTTTTAACAAAAGCTACGAAATGTCAGAGTTCTCATTAAATATGACAAATGTACTGATGCTTTGGGGTGTCTTAAAAGTCTTGAGCTGGTTATGTGGCGTGGCTACTGGCCACAGGTTGATACTCCAGCCCCGAGTTTGACAAAAGGACAATTAATATAGAACTGATGAGTTCCTTCTTGAGAAGAGAAGGTCTTGAAGTGTCTCAATCATGTAAACTGAACCGCCGTTATGCCACAACCAGTTAACTCTAAACGCTTCGGTCTGATAAGAGGATAAGATCTGATCAGAGGATAAGCCATAAAACAGTCCACTACCTCACTGGGAAATATTTACTACAATGTTGGATATAGATGAGTGAGAAACATTACGCATTTTGTAATAACAGAGGTGTCCAGCATATAATGTACGTGTAAATTACTGTGCATGGTTTACGGGGTCCTTCTCAAGCGCCGACGCATCTGATGCCATATCTTGACATACCACTGCCTCAGTTTTCGGTCAGTCAGAGCATAAATGAACGGATTTAAGGCCGAGCTGGTATACACGAGACAACGTAACCAGAGCTGAATCTTTCGGGAGAAGCATATCGGGCAAACGATATGAACGTAGATGTAGTAGACCGCAAACGGAAACCAGCAAACAGTGAAAACCGACACGATGCCGGCCAGCATGATCGCCGGTCGGATGTAGCGAGTCATGTGTCGATCAACGTAACGCTGGTGATCTCGGACTTGAGAGTTTGAGGCTCGGTCCAGCGAGTTTGGTCCCCGTGGCTCCTGACTAAAGCCGTCAAAGGTGGATATCTGCCCCTCCGCTGCGCTACTCGGACCGGGTTTGTCCGTTTGTTCGATGTTGACGTTCGCGTGAGGTCTAAAAGATCTTTTGCTGTTGTCAGACCTAGCTCGGTGATGATTAGCAGTGCTTAAGGACACTGACGGTATCTCTGCTCCTTGGGGCCTGATTGCAGAGACGACAGGAATATCGCTTCCCTGTCCAGTGACTGCAGAAGGTTCCTTTCTAACGGCAGAGGTGGCGCAAGGAGGACCCCGGAATGCCGTCCCGCCAGCTATCTGCCTTCGGCGCTTCAGTTTACGTACCACCCCGATGAAGGTCAGAGTGTTCAAAATAGCCAGGAGTAATCCTGGACTGAAGATGAGGAGTGTGGCGTATAGTGTGCTGAACGGAATATCAGCCTCAGAGGGTACATCCTGGCAATCCGAAGTGGTTTCGTTTATTCGAATATGATGAGGTACACTGATGATCCATATCAAAGCCATGATACCGTGGCCAACGACCGGCAAGAGCCACGTAAGCCCCAGTTCGACTAGCACACGCCTGGATGTGCTTCCTTTGATGTAACTACTGAAATTAAGCCACAAGAGTCGGAATCTGTCCAGACTGATGAGCAAAGTTACCAGCACTCCATTGTTTTCGATCACAACTCTGAAGTAGTCGTAGGCCATACAAGCCTGCCAGCTCAACGGCAAAAGTCCCCGGGCAGCTATCAGCGTGTGCATCGGTAACGGGACCAGGACGGTGCCCAAGTCTGCCACGGCCAGGCCAAGAATGTACACGTGACACTTATGCAGTTTCAGCCAGTCGTTAAACTTCAAGTTGCAGATGGTTGCAACATTTCCGAGGAGAGCCAAGACCAGTACCAGGCCGTAAGCTGTTGCCAGGCCGATGTCTGGTTCGGACACCCCTCCGTTGCCAGCCATCTCCTAATGAGTGATCAGTATTTTTTTGCAAAACATGCAGCGGCGTGACACACGAATGAAATACTGCTCTTATAAACAGCGTGGCTATTTGTGCGTCCACTTCACGCACATCATGCGTGAGCATCACGGGATATACACAATTGTATGCAATAGTGAATAAATCTCTGCACGTACGGTGTACGTGAGTGTAGGACAACGTTGCGCACACCCACGGCCGCTGAAGAGGTAGAACTGAATTATTTATCAAGTCATTTATGACTCTTTTTTTCAAATGGTTTCCGCTCTGTTAACGCGTGGGTCCCGTCCTCTTACTACCTTACAGTTTAACACATAAAGCATTTCGACTTTCACTCAGAAATGTTTTCCGCACCTTCATTTTTTCAATTGTACTTTGTTTCTGGTTTGCTTGTTTGCGTTTTTTCTTTTGCAGCAACTTGCTCAGCATGAATAGTTTATTGAATGAGAGCGGGCTGTCACTTTTGACCAAAAACTTATACCCCACACGGTATTGAAAAAAAGGCTTGCAGAGAATATTGATTTCGTTAGTCGTTTCAGATTCGAATGCTGATAAGGACTCGTTTGTGACCAGGCTTTGTTAATTTGAAGTAGTTCAGGGAATGATGCTGCCCCATTTTAAACAATCATGACAATGGATCACAAAATGCAAGCTATGTTGCCATGGTTATGGGGATTGGGGAGCAGATGATTTCTGGTTATAAACGTGTGATCGAGGTAAGTTGGGACGGTCTCCACTGCGTGGATTGACCAAGGCCGGATAAAAAAAGGAACGCAAGATTAATAACAACGGTTCCCTCTCCGGAAAATAGGCTTTTGAAGCCGAAATTTGATATTCAAATTTCGATTAATATTGTATGTATTGCATATATTTAGTCAGCAGAATTGCCTTTTCGGAAATCGAAATCTGACGCCGGCATCATTATTACACTGAGCCCGAGACAGGTTTTACACAAGCGATTTACCCGTTATTGCGGAACATTCCAAAGTTTGGAACAAGAGCTCAACTGCAAGAAAAGACAAATTACCGCGGTTAACTACAAAGAAGTTTTATTTCATTGAAATCACGGTAAGTTACGGCATATATACAAACAGCATTAAAGCTAGTTATGTACAGCGGTACAGTACTGCAAGCGATCGAACGATCAAATAAAATCCATTTGAAATTACAGTGTCAACAAAGCGTAGGCTGGCTTATTCGGGTTACAGCCAATAATTTTAAATTTCAACACAAATAAATATCACAGCGTATTTTCTGACAATTTAAAAAAAGTTAAACTTAACTCTGTACTTTCTCAATAGCTGCCCGAAAAAGTAAATTTTTCAAAAAAACAATGAATTCACATGTGGTTTACACCAGAGAGAGAAAAAGCTTGGTACGAAATTTACTAAATACTCAAGTAAAACCAAATCCAAATTCAGGAAATACTATGGACCTCCGAACTGTTGCTATTGAAATAACCACATCCTTGTTACCATGAGAAATAGGAAAACAGAAAAAACTTTTAGTACATCGTTAGATGTTATGTATTTTCCTATAAATGACTAAATAGAAAATAAGTAAATTATGGCATTTCTTCCACCTGTTAAACCAGGCGTAACAGAGAGCCTAAAATGTTAAAGCAAGATTGCTAGGGCAACCAGTTACCTAAGCATCCATCGAAATAAAGACTGACAGACTTTCCGATATGTCTCGAGGGTGGCAACGTTAATGGTTTCATTATGCAACCACACGCGCACACCATTACCACTTCAACTCCATTAACTCGAAAATCACCTCCTACGGATCAAAAGGTAAGAATAAAAGTCACCAGAAAACGCCATTTGAGATTTCCCTTATTTAAGCAAGGTGAGGCTTGATTTTTCAATTTCACGTGTCACTGTGTGGTCTTTATGTAGCCGTAATGACCTGTCTGCCATCCAGCTTGATGGGATATTAAGAGTTAAATTTCAAGCTTCTGTTGAGTAACATACGGCTGCAACAAAACACTACCCCACCGTTGTATGTGAGCATGTATTATCCTGAAGGCCCAAATATGGCAAACTCAATGGAGGTTTAATGAATATGTGATTTAATTCGAAAACAAATGAAAACACATCTATGTCTTTAAAAGTTCAGCAAAATCAACGATGTCAAATAATACACGTGTAGTGATGTAACACGGAGTACTATTTCCCCCGTTTTTCAGTCATGACGTTATTCTGTGATGAACATTATTTGAGATATTTGTAGCTCAAACCCAAACCCAAACCCAGTTTTTGTAATTGCAGTGAAGCCCAACTGTGTGTATCAGTTACTCAGCTACTAACTCCATTAGCCTCTCACTCCAACAGTGATATTTTCCGAAAATGAACAAACCTCTAAAACTTCGGAATATTTCGCTCTGCCCTCTAGCGATGTCATTTCAGTATTAACTCAGAATAAATGCTGTCCAGCACCCCTTGGTATCTAATTAACAATTTACCGACGGTAATTGTAACCTTTGTCTCTTGATGTAACAATGATAAAACTCTGGGTAAATGCTATGTCAACATTCTATATTGGGCTTTTTGGGGAGGGGCTTTGCCGACGCACACGAACACTCCACACTCAATGTTGTGGAGAGGATTGTGAGAAAAAGTCACAAGCTTATTCAGGTAGGACTCGAAACCCACAACCTCATGCTAGATCAAACGTTTACAGCAATACAGTAACATTGATTACATACACGTAGATAACTGGCTGTTTACATTTGATTGACCTGATTACAAAGGTGCTGTTATCATCCACCACTTACACAGTTAAGATTTAATATTGGTAGCATTCAATTAGGTTGTTCTCTTGAAAGAATCCTTTTGGGGCTGATGCTCTGCCCAAAAAGATGAAGTTGGAAATGGATTTAATGCAACAAGATCAAGGCATGCATGGTACAAGGTATGATCCAGACACGAATTTTGTTGGGGAAAGGGCAAAGTTTTTGAGGGGTGGGGAGGCACAATATTTGGGAATTTCTTCATAAAATTTTTTGTGACCTTCTAATAGGATGAAAGTGAAATCGTGGGGGCTTTTTACACGCACTGAGGAGGAAAGCATTGAAAACGCCCCCCAAACTGGCAAAAACTTTTTGTCCCTTTGGGGATGGGCATGACCCCATTTGTCCCCATACCAACGAATGGTATTAATCAATCCTACTTGGTCAAATCACTTCCTTCCTGGGGGCATTACGGATAAATCTCTGTTGGGCAGGTGCTCTGTGGAGATCATGCTAAAAGTTAACATTTCACACAGATAAACCATTCAAAGCGACTGGGTTCTGTCTCGAGGATTCTTCTTCTCCAAGGGAAGTTTTTCTTTCACTTCCTGCAAACGAATCCATAAAAAAAATCAAAAACCAAAAAGAAGAGTAAAGTTTGTGAAAAGCTTTGAGGTTGAAGGTTTTAAGTGGTAACTATCTTCTTTAGCTCAGAAACACCATAAGGATCAAATTTTCACATTCATTTATGATGAAAAGTAATACTGTATGAATTATGAAATTTCTTCTGTTTTGGAAGACCAGTCTTTCAAAAATAAAAATTCAACAATGCAATATCAAAATTCTTTCAAATCTCTGACAAAAAATTCAGAACTAAGAGACGTTTCTTTAAAAACAAGGGGGAAGGCAAAAATCCATGAAAACATTTCTTTCAAAAATTGGGCTGCCCCCTCAGTGACTGGCCCCCACAGCAAGAAACAGGAGCATGGACTTCAAATATGATTGACAAAACTGGTGTGATTGAAAAATGAAGGACTTCCCCCTTCCCCCTCAAAAAAAAATTGTCCGAAACAATTCAAACAAATACGGGCAATACATCTGACACATCCCCTCAGCCACAGCCCCTAACATACATAGAATCACATATGTTTCAAATGGGCAGCCTCACCGATGATGAATCCAGGTCTTGAATTGGGGGATAAAGTGGAAATTTGGTGATGACAGTCCAAATTTTTTGGACTGCCCTTCCCTAATGGAAATACCATTGACCTGAGCCCAGGTAGCAAATTCAAATCTGTTGACCGAACAGTGAGAATGGAATGATGAGAATTATTCTCAACAAGTTTCTGACCTGAAGAAGTCGAGTCCTGTAGGCTTCCTCATTCTCCCTGTTTACTCTGGCTGGCACGGCAAACTCATGCCGTTTCAGGATGAGAGAAAGGTCGTCACACTTGTACTCCTCCACTGGGTCAATATGGTTCTGATTGATCAAGCTCACAAGGTACTCCTTGTAATGAAGTCTGTCCACAAAGAAAACAAAAATCAGATGAAAAGTATTTGGGATGATCAGAGCAGAACATAGACTGAGGAAGATACCAGAAAAATGAGAAAAGGAAAAAAAGTAAAGGTTTGCACTCCTTAGTAGCAGAATCGGAAACATTTCACGTTTCCAACAGCAAATATGAGATTGCAGTAAGAAATATCTCATGGATACTATCCAAATGACTCTTGCAACGCTGTATTTGGGGCATTTGGCCATATATTAAAAGTTACATGTATATCTTGCCTTTTTCAAAGGTCGAGAATTTCAGGCAAACATTATACTGTCCACAAACGATTAAGCAGCGCCATGACATTGGGCACTGAGTGCAAGGTAACATTAGCCCCGCCCCTTTCTCTATACTCACTGACAGAGTGCAGCATTCACTACATCTCTCCCACACTGAACATCTTGAAGACCGTCTGGAGTCTCCCGCTGCTCCATTACACTACAAACTGTCTGTTGAGCAGCTGGATTGTCACGTTTATACTCAACGTTGTGTTTCTGTACAGACGAGAAAAGGGAAAGATTCAGTGCACAACATTATTAACAGGACTTCAACAGAATGAGGAATTTCTTTTACTTTTCAAATCTTCTTCCCTTTGCAAACCTGTCAACGACCCTGCTTTTGAAGTCAGTGTCCAAATGAAGGATGATAAAAGCGTCCATATGATGAACCTTTCTTATGCCCTTTTTGAACAACTTCACACTCTTCCATATATAAAAACTACTTGACATGATTGTAAGTGTATTGAAAAACACACTTTTGAAACATTAAAATTGTCCATGCTTTTCAGGACACAAAAAGGGACTCTTGCTGTGTTACTAAGTTAATATACACTGTACATGTACATGGTTCTGTTCAGATTAAGAACTCACCATTTGATCATTTAAACAATGAAAAAATTTGCTGTTGGCTTATTTAATGTCAGTGGATAAATGTTCGAAGGAGGGGCGGCCATTTGTGAGACATCACATTAAAGGCCCTGCCAAAAGTGTGTGTGTGTGGGGGGGGGCATTACCCCCAAGTCGAAAAAGTGGGGAACAAGTGGCCTTCTTGCTCCCTCCTTCCGCTGTCAATGGGCTTCTTGCTAGGCATTTCTGTGCTGGCAGTGCAAGTGCAGAATGTTGATTGGAAGCGTGTAATTCTGTGGTTGGTGCAGCCATGAAATTGGGCCCATGGCTTGATAACTGAACACTAGATGGTTCACCTCTTGACATCACACGTTAATTAATCGATGGCTATGAAAGGGGAGAATTTTCTTCTTTCATCTACCTTATGTCAAAACTTATGTTGAAATTTCCAAAAGAAATTTTTTTTGTTTTTACAATTTTTGGAAGCACTTTTCTTTAACCATAACCCTCCAAGGGTACTTGGATAGAAACCCTTTGAGTCCATCAGACGGCATCATTTTTCAAAGTGGATTGCCTGCCCAGTGTAACGAGATCCAACAGGTTAACTCTCCCCAAGGCCAAACAGCCTGGGAGTCTGTGGTTGCCAGTCACCACAAGATCCAACAGTGGCACTGTTCAATGGGACTAGCTCCCATTGTCTCAACATTTGTTGAGTTTGTTCAGCCACTGCTGATTGCCAAGTGCATCAAAGAAGATCAGACTATTTTACCTGATACGCTCTGCTGTGTCTAGCAGGGTTAGGGTTCAGAAAGGTGATCAAAGTCAACTTGGTCCCTCATTCAGTGTCTCAACTCCTGAAAGTTTCAACTGTCCTAACTGAGACACAGATCTGTCGTAATCCTGTTAAAAATATCCTACATCCAACTTTTTTGTGGGCCAAGAGGATTTTTTCTCTTTCCAGTGAGCACTGGGCTTTGTGTTCACAGCTGTCTTAACAACATGTCTTTCGAAACAGTTTTCGCTCATTGAGAAAGCTTGTTTCAAATGCATTTTATGCAACACAATCTAACAGCTTTGAAGCCTCTCAATTATTTTTAAAAAGTGATAGCAAAATCCATTTTACATATTCAAAATTAAAATAAATACAACAGATTTAATGTATTGAATCAAAAGAGAAGAAACAATCTTAAACAAATGAAGAACATGACAAACAAAGGTGAAGCAATTTTAAGCATTTTGCCTATATTGTCTACGTTCTACTGCTGTTTTTCTTTCTGCCTCGTTTCCTTCAGGTGTTCTTTTTCTGTCAATATCTCCACTGTGTATGGGTTCTTGGATGGCTTATCTATCTCAAGAACCCTATATGTGTTAAGCCTTTTCTGTTCCTCTTGAACAGAAGGTTTTGTACATAGAGAATACTTGTGTTTTCATCTTCCTGAAAGGTTACACACATTAACAGGGGACAGTCCCCAAATAGGAAACAAATTGAATGAGGGAAACCAAAGGTAATTTGTTGCAAGCTCTGTGCAAGGAAATGTATGATACATGACACTCCCCGTCTGGAAAGGTAATCATTTTTTTCTTCAGGCAAGGTCCAGCGGGCTGCCGAAATGATACAATTTTAATGATGTTGTTACAGGAGGCAGCTGCTTCCTATATTTCCTCAAAGAGGATAAAAGGAAAACTATATATATATCTAATAAGCGTGTTTGATTGAAAAGGGAATAGGCCTCAGATCGAAACAACTCCCTAAATGCTTGAGGGTATAATCTTTGAGAAACTGTTTTCAGAGGAAAGATTCTTCCACTTAAATAACTGCACTGCATAGACCTTAGCAATCCTAGACTGGCAGGATTTCTGAGGTGTCTGCATTGACAAGATGGATTACTGTACCTGTAGAAGCTTCTGCAATGACTTGATGTCTTGATCTCTGAGATAGAACAGACAATCTCTAGGGTGATGAGCATGGATACCTTTGTCCCTGCATGACGCAAACCGCCCGCACTCCTGTCAGATAAAAGCAGACATCAGTATCTTGAGAAAATTCCTGCTTCCGTGTGATCAGATTGGAACTCACAGCTTCTCTCTTCCCTACTGAGTTTGTTTCATTTGTACATGTACATATTTAGATTGGACATTTCCATCTTTTCTTTGCAATATCCGATAGAGTGGAATGTTTCCTTTTCTTATACCCTAAACTAGACACTCTATCCTACTGAAGTAAGTCGCCCAAGTTGCCTTTTTAAATATTTCCAAATAGATACTCGCAACTTTTGTCTACCCTACTGGACTCATGGACATGATGTAAAAAATCTGGAAATGCAATGCCTTTGTACTGACTAATACGGCCATATCCACCCTGAGCTGAAGTGCGCCCTCACTGGCGAAAGAAAGACAGACTGGTACGAAGATTTCCAACCAGGTTCTTGCACGTGTTCAACGTGCATGTGAACACCATATATTCTAGAAAAAATTCATTGTGTACACTTGGTGTGTCCCGGTTAAACACGCACTAACTTGCGTGCCTATGCAGTGAGTCCGTACCAAAGGACTGTCAATTTCACATAAAAACACGTCCTCTTTTGTTCCGGCACAGAATGGAATACTGTGGTGAATACAAAGGCAACAGTTAGCTCATTTGCCATTGTATGCTGAAGTCACTCTTTGGGTCAGTTGGTAAATAGCACAAAGAAGCACAGCTGTGTTGTGTTGTGCACTGCACGAACTACCCCTCACAGGAATATCAGATTGCACTTTTGTGCTGTCCAACAACTGTGCCTTACTGTTTCATGTGCATCATTGTGCAGTAAACCAAATGCAGTGAAGAGGACTGCACAAAAGACCCTGTGTCATTTCGTGCTGGCAACCAACTATGTACACACTGAACCTGTGCATGTTTGTGTTCCATATAGGAAACAAATGCAAGAGAGTGACTGTGGGCACTCGTGCATATTTGTGCTGTTAAACCACAGGAGGGTTGACACCAACAAATTTGGATTTACAATAGCGAGTACGCTTTTGTGTTCCATTTATATTGGGCAAGGTATTGAAGACAAGATGGCCGGCAGTGGCTTTAGTGACCTCTGTGTGATGATAAAGCGCACTATGAGTCCAGATTTTCTACATGACTGACCTGAGCAAGTTGGGTGTTATTTGCATGTAAACTGATTGGATACATCAGTTCTGATTGCATAGCTTGTCTCTACCCTCCTGGACCCCGAGCTAGCTGAGTTTCAGTTCAATACTACCAGATAAGATACTCACATTTCCTCTTTTGTACGGACTGCTACAGCCACAGCAGAATTCATGAGTGCACTGGCCACACTTGAAGTGCATACAGCCCCCCTTGGCCAACTCATACCTCATCTTGCAGTGGGGACAATCTGTGGAGGAACAGGTGCAGTAGAAAGTGAAAACTGATGTGAAGTCAATTGATTAGAGCATTTCCGGAGCTCAAGGTTGGTGTTTCAAACATGTTCTCACACGCTTTCAGAACAAGGGAAGAGAGCACAGTGCAGTCGTTGAGTCCCTCACCAGTCCTTTCACAAGTCCCTTTTTAAGTACAGTCACATGTCCCTCCATGAGACCACTCATAGGCAACAGGGTGACCATATGTTACCCACTCTGTGAAAATGAGCCTTAAGTCGCCAGAGCCACTTTGGAGTTAAAAGTCCTTTAGAGTAATTGTGCACAGTGTAAATCAATAGGAACCCACAGCATTTCTCACCATGGAGTATCCAGGATGCCAGACTGAGTGACACATCAAAACAAAGAACTCAATTTGCTCTTTCCAATACAAACGAAAACTCAAAAAGTGGCTCTGGCGACTTAAAACTCATTTTCAGACAGTGGGTCACATATGATAAAGGAATGCTTATGTCACAGTTCATTTGATGAGCTTGTGACACAGTTTATGACTGGATGATTAGTGATGGCTGTATGGACTTGTGATGGACTCCACAACTAGATTGAAACACAGCATTAATAACACTAATCTCCCCCCCCCTTTGAAAATCATTCTGCAGATGTTGCCTTAACCTCCCTCCACTTTCTGTAGAGCTCCGCCCCCTCAGGTGCATACCTATCCCATTCTCTCTCAGATGAATGGCTAGTCCCTCGGCTTGTCTATTGGGATCATTAGCCTCTTTCCAAGCCTGAAAGTCGGCACAAGATGTGTTTTCATGCTGATCCATCCACTAGGAAATAAAGACCAAAAAAAGCAAACTCTCTATTACAAAATGGAAAAAATGCCTTAATTTAATGAAAAAGGCTTTCTAAATACAATGGAGCTTGAAAATAAATAAATTCCCCCCCCCAACCAAAACCCCCAAAAACCTGATACTAAAAACTGAGATAAAATGATCTATCTCAATGTGACTGTTATCGGGTAGTTATATCTTACCGGTTTCTTGCACTGAAAGCATGTGACCTTGCCGCATTCGTTGCAACGCATCTTGCGTCGACCTGGAGCTTCGTTGATGAAACCATTGCCACACTGACAACAGACAAGGATGCAGTCTTTACAGTCAAAACTATCTGTCTGCTTCAAAGCCAATTTGATTTAGGGGGAGTGGTTGGTTTTCATGTCATATTCTACTTGTCCACATTATAATTCCACAATGGACTTGTCCAGTGAAGAGTATTTATTATTTCCTGCCAAAGCACCACAGCTACAATCCTTCACATGGTTGGACTATGCTGACCCTTAGTAGTTATTTGTTCAAGATTTTTGCAACACTTCTTGCTTCATCTTTGCTTTTTTACATTCAGAGATAACATCACAAAGTGATATTTTCTACAATGCCTAGCCGTGGCACAAAGTTGCTCAACCTCCACAGACACATGCAGACCTCTGTGTCTGTACAAACTCAACTGAAATCACTCAAGTGTTGGGACCAGTGCAGATGTCATCCAGTAGTGCATAAAGAATATGCCAAGACAAGTTTCACCATGCTCCGTATTATGACACAGGAAATTCCTGTATGTTTACAAGTCATGCAGTGTGAAGCGGTTGAGAAGAAATTTCCAAAATGACTTACGTGAGCGCACCACCTAAAATTGTCTTCTTTCATCAGATTCCAGTCTCGCATCTTGGTCTGAAATAACTGATAGGCTTCAGCTTCAAGGATACCTTTCAGCTGTTGACCAAAAAACAGAACATTGTAACATTTCATGGAGACTAAAGTGAATGAAACTTAGAATACATCAACAGAAATATGGATGTTCACCCGCTGTTAACCCCTTTGAACCGGGAACCGTCGACAGCCGCGGCTTTGTGTGAGGAACAGTGCATACATGTACCACACATACATTCTATTCACCATGCAGCTGCGGTTTCAATGGGGCCTGCTGCTGGACAGAGCTTTGCATTCTGGGCATACCACTGCCCAGCAGTGGCTGTCACAAGAATCCTGGCGTTAATGGGATAATCAAGACTGCTTTTACACATAGATGCATATTGAATTATGTGTTAAAGCAAGGTAGCCAGTAAGTAACAAAGAGGGACCGTTGTCTACAAGGGGCCCTCAGGAAGAAGATCCAAAAGAAAAGGTCTGCTTTCTGACGAAAACCCCAGACGAATATTAGGGGAGCCCACCGAATCTGGTACGGACTGAGACCCAATCCACATGTCCGATTCAACTCCGAGTTGCAGATTTGGAAGGTGAGGAAAGAACCATTAAGTGGACATAACTTTTTTAAAAAGTGTTTCTGTCTTGAAACTATGCGCTCAAAAATTAAATCCCATCAAGTTGTCAAGAGAGAGCACTGTGGAAATCTGGAGGATATGTGGCAAGATCTCACCCCAAATGTTTTGTTTCCCATATCAACAAAACCCTGACTACAACCCTGACATACCACTGAAATCTACTAATTCTAACCACCTACCAGCAGGTCAAGAAATGCGAAGTAACTTGCTGTAGCATTCTGATCATCGCCACGGAGATCTGGCTGATCACACACGGGACACTTGGCATTTACAATATTTCGAGTGGTGATGACGAAGTGGAAGTGACCATGAAGACATTCCAAGCAGATCATGCACTGACAGTTGATTAACGTACTCAACTGAAATATCAAGCGGTGAGAGAAACTGAACTAGAAGCAACCTATTCACCCTACTCTTTTTTAATTCAGGCACTTTCCAGTCCTGAGACAATCCAATAGCTGCATTACCCCGAGTAGCCCAAATCCCCAGACAGTAAACAAACAAACTACCAACCCCAGTAACAAACTCATTTCCGTTTTCGGGAAACAGAAAAATCGGTAAAATGTACACAAAATCTGTACTTCTTATAAGGCTGATTTCTGCCCAAAGATAAAGATTACGCAAAATTTGCTTTCACAACCAAAAAATCATACCTCCACGTTTTTGGTGAATTTCTGTAGAGAAATATGGAAATTCCATTCTTGCTGGAGTAAACTGAGAACTATTGCAATGGCAACAAGAGATAGTCACGCTTTGGTCAATGTCAGTAACGGCCTTTTTTTCTCCCATGAAACTGTGTATACTTGCCTTATTCATAGGGAACTGTGCAAAACAAACTTGACATTCCTTTTCCAAGAACTGTTTGGCTCTTTCAAAATCGCCGCATTCCTTGGCTGCGATGATTGCATCACCAGTGTTGTATTTTGCCATGTCGATCAGTTTGGTTGCGGTGATAGCGCGGCCCCAGCTAGGCAGCTCAAATTCAGCTAACAAGATGCGAAGTCGCCTCTGCAATGAGAAAATGCGCTACCTGTGTAATATGCCAGTGTGCCAACAGGAGAAGTGTGTCAGACTTATCAAGGGCCTGTGTGAATGTGGGAAGAAATACCAGACTTATGCTACTCGGGACTTTGTGAACGAGGGAAAGATATATTTTAGATTTGTTTCTTAGGTGAGTGTCTATACAACCAAATTTGCTCTCTGAGACGAGGCGATCAGCATGGGACAACACACCTACATGTACTTCCGTCATTTAATTACAGCAGACTCCTGCAATTGTTCGGCTAAGAAGGAACACTGCATTAAAGCCAGTTTATACTTCAGACAAATGCAAAAGCTAATCAAATTTGACGCCATGAAATATTTGCAGTGAAATTGACTTGAGTTAACATGTTTTAAACTTTTACAGATTTACAGCATGGTTACTTGATCTGATGTCATAATTTCACATTCGTGATCACGTTCGTTCCCATTGTGAACAAGCCTTTAGCACTCACAATAACAGAAAAATCTCAGGTGTTTAAGGGTACAATTGTTCATTTGGTCGTATACAAAGTGAACCAGTACTGTGACCATCATAATCAATGCATTAAACAGAGCTGTTGACTTGAATTGCTGACTCAGACTTACTACATTTTTGTCTTGAGACTTGCATAAAGAAAAAGTTATTTTGACTTACAACTCGACTTAACTTGGAAGAAAATAACACATTTGGCTCCTTGGCATTACCAAAATTTGTTGAAATAAACATAAGGAAAACAAGTATCTTTTACTTTTTATGTGCAAAAGCAAACCTATCAGTTTCATTATACTAACATCTTATTAGAAATATCAGTATGTTTAACGGTCATGACAGAAAAATTTAGGTAGACAGGTCAGACCTGATTTGCTAATCATTGTACCGGTCACGCTATTAAGTACATCGGAAAAATTGTACAAACAATTTATTAATTATAACGTACATCAGGCAGGCTTAAAAACATGACTTGGAAAACTTTATTTGTGACTGGACTTGAACTGTAGAGAAATGAATTGTCCACAGCACTGAAGTGACATGTCTGGAGCATGTCTAGAATGGCCTTCATGCACCAACCTCAACTGTGTCAGGGTGTCGATCCACACCAAGGTCAACAATCAGCTTCTCCTGATATTCCACCTTCTCGGGTGTCCAGATGCGGTCGACAAAGTCCTGGGCTCTCTCTTTCTGGAGTTGGATCAATACACCGTCCTCTCCTCCGTCGCGACTGCAAAGCAACTCACACACGCGTTTGTGAGGGAAGCCAAGGTCCACTAGGCTCAGGACCTAAAGAAAGAGGATTCAAATCCATCAGCACCGAACAACATTAGAGGTTTCACATGTTGTGAAACCTCTACTGTTGTTAAATGTATAGAAAATGTTTTGAAGTCCCTTCTTAGTTGACTGTGGTGGAAAGTGCAATATTTGCTACATTTAATATTGTTGGTGCTTTTCTGAACAACTGAGAGCACTGTTGCTGTGATATTATTCTGGGAACATGCTCCTTTCAGTTTTGGCATGTCCCATCTATACAGTAAATCCAAATTTGTTCATTATTGTGAGTAAGGATCCTTCACCAGCTCAGTGTCATAGAGTTATGTAACAAGACACATCAAAGGAAAGAAAACATATGACAGCAAAATAATAAAAGTTCCAGCCATTGTTTGTACTGGAAACTGTAAGACTGAGGCTTCTGCTCAAAAATAAATCTGAATTTTTGTCACAAGTAGGACAATTTGCGTTATTAGCATAAAAATAAGAAAGTACTAACATACCCTTTTAAATTCAAAACAAAAAAGGAAAAAATAAGGAGAAATGCGACCTTGTTAATTACTTGCTGCAGGGTGGCTTGAAAAATGCAGTGCACACAAACAGGGCATTTTCAAGATTTCCAGTTTTCAAAATTCTTCAAAAATTCATCATTTCAATTAATGGACGCTTAAACCCACACGAATGACTGTCTGGTGGCTACTCTAACCTGACAGACAAAATCTATTGACGCCCGAGTATTTCAGCGAGACCAGCAGCCTTGTAAAAAGAGCCCAGATTATGCGGTGTTATGAAACTTTCTTTTGTTTACGAACCTGGCACAGTGCGCTGCTGACCTCTTTTCAATAGAGGCCAGATTAGCGTGCAACGTTGCTGTGTGGCTAATCACTGTGGTGGTGGAGGGCTTTTGTCCCCGGTGGTAATCAGCTCGCTCTAAATGCCCCAAACCATGGTATACTGTTTCAAAACAAGGCTGGATTATCTCCACTATTGAGAGTGAAAACATGTTGGTAATGCCAAGCAGCCTGGTCTTTTGTTACGAGTATGGTCTTTTGTTACAAGGCCCTGTTCCCTTTGTCCAATTTCAGAGACCCCAGCCACGCATATAATGAATACATTTCCGATATCGGAAACCCCAGCAGCAAGTGGTTAATGAAATTACATTGCAAAGTCCCTTCAAAGTAGTTCACTTACCCTACTCTGCAGGCTGGTGACACATTCTTCAACAGCTTTCTTCACACTGCCAAGATGCATCTGGAGTGCCTGTTTCGCTTCCTGCCTCCTCACCATGCCAACACTCTTCCCAACCTCCTTCTTCAAGTGATTGGTTGCCATGGTGGTTACCGTGGAGATGTAGTCATCCCAGTTACCTTGGAGCCAGAGAAGTTCATCGCCTGTCTGCCCTCCATTCCCCTGCATCTGCTGTGAAGCAGCACTAACCTCTTCAGGTAAAAACCCTTCATCTTCCGCTTCCTATTGGAAGAACAATGAATCTTTTGTCAGCAATCTCAATGACACCGCAACAAAGAATTTCAAAGTTCATCCCCAAAGTCCAAGATTCATCAACTGTCTCTTTTGCTTTTATCAACTTATTGTGCCTTTTGGAAACAATCTGACTGCCCACCCGCAACATTTGAATGAATTCCAGGCTCTGAGATCGCTGCTCGTCCAATCGCCTCTTCTCTTCTACCCACATGATGTGAGGACTTCTTGGAGATGTTGACCTCACTGGGGTCGAGACTTCCTGTGGGTGTGGCTTTAGGAGAGCATCACCTGTTACGGTCAAAGCCAAAGAGAATTTGAACCATTTAAGTGAAGTTGGTGTGAAAATAAAGGTATTGCGGCACCCATTTTCGGAACACCCCCCGGAAATGTTGAACACGGATAAAAAAACATGATACCAGTTGAATGTATTAGCCCTTTTCTGAGATGTTCTCCTTTATGTTGATCTTGATAAATGCCCTGATATAGTGTGATCCATTTACTACACAGAATTTTGTGTCAAGTGGAAAGCAAACGTTTGTGGGTAATTTGAAATCTAAACATCAGCAGCACAAAACAACAGTTGGCACTGATGTTATACATTCAGGAAAGCTCATCTGATCTCAGACAGGTCTCCTGATGAAGCTACACCAATCTGCCTCTGCCAGGGCCTTCGTTTTCTGGGCACTCAATGCCAGGCACTGCTAGAGGTAGCACAGTTGGAGTGGACAAGTGTTGGTCAGCACTAACCTTGGCTGGGTGCTTGTTTCATCCGAGGTGATACAGGGGCGTCTGCTGGAGCCTGTTTCAATTCTTTTTTGATTCTCGGTGGAGGCGATGGCATCTTGGCTTTCTCCTCAATCTCAGCTGCCATACGACTTTCATATTCTTCCTTTGCCTTTTGTTTTTCCTTCAGCATCTGAAAGAGAAACACATCCAGTGGTGAACAAGAATTGCACACAAGGTGGTACGGCAAATTAGCCATGGAAAAAAGCCCAGCCAAAATATACACGGTCCCAATTGTAGCGACTGATGAGGAATCAACACTGCAGTGGAGAAACTGTGCTTACTGTGAAACAATTTCATGGGTTAACTGACAGTTACTGATTTATGTTTCAAACAAAAGAACACAAAGACTACTGAAACCATCTTCTATCCTGAGAATGTTTGGTATAAACCTCACACAGCAATTACACAAAATTGAATATTTGGATGTCATACATGTACTTCTTGGATACTTGTCAAGAGACCTCTGGAATGTCACAAAAATAAACTATGTCTCAACAGTTGGTCTAGAATCTCTCATAATAGATTTGCTACCTATCAATAGACACAAAATAATTCACAGAGTGAATCAGCTCCAGGCAGTGCTGCAAAGATTTGCTTTGTGCCTAGTAGATGGCACAGAGCCTCTAGAAAGTGAAAATGGTCTGACTTACAGCCTCCTCCTCCATCTGTAGATAAGTGAAGACGCTGATTGTCTCCGGCTGAGTGGGTGGCAACGTTGGAAGAGTCACAGCTGGAATGTCTGCCGGAGCAGGTGGTTCAGTCCGTGCTGGTCTCACACTGGCCTGGTACGAAGGCTGCTGCAGTGGGCGTGGCATAGCAACCATGGATAGAACAGGGCCTAGCTGCTGACCTAAAGCTGCCACGGAAAGTTTCTGCGTGGCACCTGTTGGCATGGGAGCTCGGCACGTCATGCAGACGGCTGCAGCCGAAGCTGTGTTGTGATTGCCGCACTGCAGGCAAACCCAAGCTCCTGCTGCTGACTGGCTGCCATTGAGGGGTACTTGGCTGCCGTCTGGTGCACCTGTGACCGTGGTTGCCGCGCTGATGCGATTCATCATCTGTTGAACTTTCCCTGGCTGTGCAGTCGGGGTGCCATTACCCACCACCAGGGGCCTAGTTGGACTGACTGCTAAGTGATTTCTGACAGAGGGCGTTGGGCCTGATGTAGTAACTGACCGAGACTGAGATGACTGAGTCATGGGTACAACCACTGGTGGCTTTGCTGGAATGGAAGGCTTTGATGTAGGCTCCTCTTGCATGAAAGTGAGTGGTATTCCAACAGACACAGGCTGTGAACCGGTCGATTGATTAACCTGCTTGAGTGGCTCCACCCCACTGGTTCCTTGATGATGCAGTCTGGTGGTGTTATTTGTGGTTGTAACATCGGTTGGGGGGTACTTTATCTGAGTTGCAGGAGTGGTGCTTGATTGCTGGGAAGGCAAGTCCTTGTAACTCTCTGATGGTGGATACCTGACCTCAACATTCTCTCCTTGCAGTTTACTCACAGCAATCTCTGCTGAGGTGGACTGGACTTTTGCCAATAATTCTAGATCTTTTTGCTGTTTCAAGATCCTCTCGTGACCGCTCACCAGGGAGCTCATTCTTGCCGCCAAGGTTTCATACACGGGGGAATTGGGGTCACAGGTTATCATGACATTTCGCTGCACTTGGATCTGCTGGAGGATCTCAATGTCCTTCCGGACTAGAGCTTCAATTTCTGATGTCAGATCTCTCTTGGAGGAGGGGAGTGAGTGGTAAGCTTTAGGAGACACGGGGACACATGAAGCATCCACAAATGCTGAATCAGATTGGGATCGGACGATTGTTTCCTGGGGCGGATGTTTGACATCTGATTGAATCTCATTTGCTTTGTCCAACGTGAAAACATCATCACTCGATGTAGCTTTTCCTTCGGGTATCTGGGACACAGAGGGCTACAACAGAAAAAATCAAATGTACATCTCACAGATTAAACTTCACATTACATAGAAGTGTATAACATGTATAAGATAGGAAACTCCTTCTCCACATGGCACTATATTTCGAGTAATTTCAAACAAGATGAAACATTCTAGTTTGATCACTTTGCATGCATCTAGTCTTTCTTCTGGAAACCCTATCACTCCCAACACTTCTCAATTAAATTCGGACTCTACCATTACACTAACATTTGAGGTTGGCCAACCATTCAATACACTCACTTCCTTTGCTGTTGATTCTTTCTTGACAGAGCGTCTGGGTGCAGGGACAGGTCTTTTCTTTGCTGCTGCAGGACTACAGTGAGAGACCAAGACAGAACAAAAGTTCAAATGTGGCTGCTAATGGTTAGATGTCCAAGTCTTGAGCAATACTGTAAGACTCTTCCGAAAATAGCAAGCATTTGTTAAGAAAATTGGCGACAGTGAAAAGATACTTTCTCACATTTTGATTCTAATGTTAGGCACACAATTCAAAACACTTCTATTTGTAGTTTGGTGATGATATACCAGAAGGAATGTGGCTAAAGCCTCTTTGGTTTCATACTTGATCATTTTGGGTAAACAGGTACCAACCAAAACAAATATTTATACCAAAAATTGAAATTAATTCTGCCATTTCATCAAAATGAACGCTGACTACGGGATTAACAGCATTGCTCACCTTGCTTCTGTCGACTGGGGAGAATCTTGTGAGGAGGTGACATTGACTGGAGACAGCACAATATTTTCAGGTGGTGGTTTGTCAACTGGTTCTGAACTCTTCGCCTTCAGTGGCTGTCTGCTGTGATTCTGCCGCTGTGGGTGTCCATGGTACACCCTGTCGCAATCACTGCAGTACTTGCCGCTGCAGGTGGAGCTGCTGCAGTCTGTGCAGAATACAGACGACTGCTGAATTCCGCACACATGACAGAGAAGAATGGGCACTGGTGACTTGGACGTGGTTGCATCGATAAGCGGGGTGGGCTCAATCACTTTCCGCTGGTGGGTGCGCCGGGTCGGATGAATATGCCACTGTTTGTCGCAGGATTCGCATCGTAGTCCAGAGCAGGTGCTACACTGAAACTTGGCGGTAGTTTTACCACACATCACACAGTCACTGGACTTGTCTAAATTGGTAGAAAAAAACTGATTTAAACAACTTGCAACAAAATGTAAAGTTCTAACCCCCAAAGTGTTAATGTTACTTGCGGCAAAACATTGCAAACTGAAGTGTACCCTTGTTGTACTTTGCCCTTTGAACAGTTGCGCATACCTGTCCCAATTACAGTGTTCTGAGAAATTGCCTGAGACAGCACTGGTGTAGATTGCTGTTCTGTGTTTGAAGCTGTTGTCTGAGGCTGCGTAACATTCTTAGGTGTCTTTGTGAAGTAGCCAAGCCCAGTTTCCCCCTTGGTGGGCATGGAGCGTGGCACTGTATCTCCTATCCTGTGCACAATGCCCTCAACCTGTGATGCTGGATTTGCAGAGGTGACTGGCTTAGGTTTGGTGGGAGCTTCAGCTGAGGCTGGTCTGGGATCATGCTGAGCATCACTGCCTGGTGGCAGCTCAGATGCAGGCGATCCAGATTCCTTGCCTTCGAGGTCCAACAGTTGACAGAACTGCTCCAAAATGTCTCCCTCGGGAGGTGGTACCACATTTTCATAGATGGTCCTGGTGCCGTGCGCCTGACGTCTCAGAAAGATGTTCTGAGGTCGGCCTGTCGGAGAGTCGCCAGGAACCTGAATCATGGCCATTGTTCCCTCCAAGCAATCCTTGACACGGTAGGAATGAGGGTGCTCTCCCTGATGATACAATTCCAGCTCTCTCCTGGAAATTGCCAAGTCAGCTGTTACAATGGCAACCAGATCCAAGTTGGGTGATGCCAGATCTGAAGGGAAACTCAGACCATCTTCTACCACCTCTGAATAGCCCATAAGCTTCAAAACATCTCTTGCACCCTGCGCAAGAAAAGAGCAGTGGAAAAAAAAGAGGTACATCAAATCAACTGTATTTACCTTAGCAGGATCAAGCCAAAAATGCTACAAATTGAGAAGCCAAACAGTAATCACCAAGCTTACAATGTAAAAATGATGCATGTTAATAATTCTTAATTCATTTTGAATACATTTGAATAATATCTCAGTTGTCCATTTTCCCAAACACCATTGTTCCTTTGACTAATATCACAATTGTTCATTTTCTCAAACTCAATTATTCAGTAAGAACTCATCAGTACATTTAGTAAATAAAAGTGATCAACTGCCTACTTTGATGATGTCTACTCTGGTGCGGAAGACACTATTTGCAAAGTAGATGCACTTCCACAGTGGCGGACGTTCGGGTTTCAGTAAATTGCGCCCGTACTTTTCCAGGAGTCCCAAAGCTGAGACTAATGTAGATAGACTCTTGTCACCCTGCAAAAAAGATGACAAAAATGGAAATCAGAAACAAATTGCCAAAGCAGAGAATAAATTTACACAAGAACATCAATGACAAAGTAATTCTTGATGTTTCCCTGGTGGCTAGTCTTGCGCCTTGTGTGTGAAAACTGTCGCTTTACTTTGCAACTTCCTTTACTGGTACTAATTGACAAAATCCATTTCCTTTGAAAAATAATTGAGAGATTACATGTACATGTAACAGGTACCAGACCTGCTTCATTCAATTTTCTACATATTCAGCCAAGAAAGATTTCCCCAGCACAGAAGAATGAGACTTTTGGGCAACCATTTCTTCTGGGCACCCTTCATCATGCAAGGTACCGGTACATTACAGTAAAAATCAGTTGCAAGTGTTCAGAGCCATACACGCTTGAACTTACAATGTTGGTCATTCTTACAATCAAGAGTCAGTGCATACGGTGTGAAAAACAAAAGCGGCAGAACAATTTCAAGGGGGGGGGCAGTTGTTAGACCATCAGGCATCAGCTATTAATGCTACATTGTATAATAGGCCCATCCATTAAGTCCCACCCCATTATATGCCATGCAAAAGGGGGGGTCCCCAGTCAGAAACCTCCCCATCCACCACCAGTGGTGAAAACACACCGTTTTTGTTCACACGCAGACCTCTAGCTTCACACAGATTCATAATGAGAATTAGAGATAAATTTTAAATAAACTCTATCAAACTGAACAGTCAGGGACATACATGTACATGTAGGTCAATTCACAGAAATATAATACTACCTTACCCATGCTTATTGTCCCCACACAGGACACATAGACACACTTTCTTTCAGACTTACTGTAAGTAGATTACAAGGCCTGTGCCAGGTACCTGGGTACCCGAGTGCCCGCCCGTCAATATCAAAACCTTGTTCCATTTTTTTCGGGCTGGGCAACAGTAGAAAATTCCACATGTAAAAACGTATGTGAACCTAAATAGTGAATTGCCAAAGAATCATCGTGCCACTGAAAAACCTGGTACCGCAGTCATAACTCCAGTCAGAGCTTGAAGGAGATACTCTTTTGTTATAAATTAAAGGTAACACAATTTTCGTTTATTAAAAAGGTGGGGGAGATTCTAACGTCTAAAACAATATGCTGCTTCCTACATGTATGTATGACAAAAAGAGCCCTGTTTCAGGCACATGGTCTGCCAGGATTGTGCCCAATGCAATTTGTCATTTTAAGGGCATCCAGGTAGTCAATATTGCCATATAACAGGTACCTGGTCCAAAACAATACCCATAAACACACAGCCCTGACTATTACAGATGTTGTTTGGAATAAACTTACCTTTGTGTACAAACCCAGGATAAAGAGTGTATAAACTGTCTTTTTAAAAGACTTTTTAAAAGTCTGTCCTAAAGCGGGGTGCCACAATGTTGCTATAAGAACTACCCATTTAATCATAGGCTATGTCTGACGCACGAGCATGATATCATTTTCAGCCGGTGAAATCCATGGCCAAAAAAGTTTCAGCCCAGAAGTACGAATTCTAAGTAACTATCACTCAAGTATTGCAGTGGTATTATTTGAATCAGCAAAACTTCCCTAAAAAGTGGTGTTAGCGTTGATGTCCAAACAGAGGCTTATTTAGCCAGAAATTACACAACATACAGTGCATATAAAAAAAGTGGGGTTTCAGTGAGACATTGCTGATTAAAAGTTGGTTGAAATCTCTCCTTGTGGGTGAAAAAAACCCTGGAACAGGATGACAAAACATGAATCATGGACAACAGCCAGGCATGTATGCATGCATGTGAAATGCAATTTTAGAAACTGCAGTTCTTCCTCTTGACATTCTGCCAAAAGATTCAACCGGAAGTGGAGATTGCTTGCCGAGTGCGTGGGTGTGTTTAAGCTGACACACAGTAAAATATAACTCACACATCTAACTGACAAGCCAGTAACCACAAAACCCAAGACAGATCATTGATATAAATGACAAATGTAAACTTGAGATGTCTGATCCAGACAAGTTGCTTGGCGCAAGCATCTCCAGTCATTTCATAACCTAAATCAAATATACACGTACATGTACTTACATAAAATATTCCACACCATTTGTAAAACAACAGGCAAGTTGCAAACTGTAAGCAGCACTATATGCAATCTCTGAACTAAAAAAAATAAATGTACTACAGGTGCTGTTAGCACTATATTCATGTAAAAATTTTCATGTTTTGCTTTATATAGGGCCTCCGATATATCTACATGTACGTCAATGCTGACCACTTGTACGTCACAGCACAACACAAACAAATATCCCTGGATTTCAGGGATGGGTCAAGTCTTTAAAAGAATGTTCAAATGCATATGAACAGAATCTAGGGACCTGACCAAAATTTGGGCCTCGTGCATGTGCGTCAATGGCCTCCTATCATCAGGTAACAGGGCTCCCTAAAAAGCTGGAACAACATATGCAAAATAAACCAGTTATCTAACTAAGGAAATTTAATCAAGTCCCCAGGGGGATACCTTGGTTGACCTCTTCCTGTTCTCAAGACCGGCTAGTAAAGCAAGACTCAACTCTTGCTGTGCTCCTTCTCTTAACAAGGACTAGTTTCGTAACAGGCTTCCTAGTAATGACTCATGCCTTGGAAATATCCATGTTACTATTTTTTTTCTGCACTATCCTATTTCAGATGGGGCAGTCCAAAGAACGTGGGCGAGCCTCACAGTGCAGTGCCCTCTGACACAAGCCTCCCACTCATTGCAAAGGTACTAAGGATTAATGGATCTATGATGGCAGCAATGCCAATTTCAATAGCATGTTAACATAATGATGTCAGGTTTCTTTTTATTGTACTCATGTGCTTTCCAGTGGCAGGGAGATACATGCACATGTCACGTACACGTAGGACATGATCCATCAAGCCCTCATATGAAACTGTGCATATTAACAAAGTGTGATGTCATGTTTTGGGTCTATTCTCAGTGAAGGATTGAAGGGGCATTTATTTGCATTACAGAAGCCAATAATCAATAGCTTGATGTTTGTACATGTATATGAATGCAAGCTTTGCACTGATTGGCGAGTGTTTGGCATATCAGCCTTTATCCTTATCTGTGTATGCAAGTGTTAACTTTGCTGCAGTGATATCGCTCCATCAACGATTTGCACACAGTGGTACTTTCCTGGCATTCCAACTCAATGACTGAGGTTGAGCCGACATGTGGATAAGGTATCTATAAATTTTGGCCAAGGGGTAAATTTATCTGTAAGCAGGGGTGTAGCGACCGGGGGGGGGGCAATAATTTATTCCAAATTCCAAATAAAGCCTTGGTTGGCAAATGAATCCAAAAGTGGTACATAAAGTGGCATTTCCCAAGAAGCATGAAACTTAGAGTACTACGGATTTCCATTTTCTGCACTGTGTGAATTCTACACGACACCAGGTTGGCGAACAAGTTACCAGTCAGCAAATTGTCTCTGGCACAGCCCCAAAGAAAATGCCCTCACTACACCCCTGTCTGGGGTTTTCCTCCCAAATGTAAAACTGCATATTCTTTCACTGTCAGCACTCTGCAGCAGGTCTGTTCAGGCTTACAAGCTGAACTTCCATTGACATTTTTGAGGAATCCTTGTGTTCACTACCAGCAGCATATCAAAATATTCATAATTCGTTTGACTGTCCTAAAAAACACATATATCCAGATTTGGCATTAGCAACATCTTACATTTAATTGTCACAAGTATCTCAAAGCCTCCAATTTGAGGTTGGAGTTTTTGGAGGAGCTGTGGGCGACGGCAACTAGATGAAAATGAGATCATTCCACACATTCCAAGAGTGGAAAAGGCCTGCAACAGCTTGGTTTGCAGGACAGCAACTAGTTAAGATAGTGTGTGGCCAGAATATCACAAAGGGGCTCGATATAGTGCAGAATATATTAAAAAAAAAAAAAAGAAGGAAGGTCAAGACAAAACTCGAGTTGCTGGGAAAGTATTGAAGCACTGCTTTCACTTATGCTTGGCCTCCTCTCTGTGCTACGAAAGATGGCATTCTCACCCTGATGTTCTTGTTTTTCTTGAGGAGGTCAGTGATGCTGATCTTGGAGAATTTTGCGGGCAGAGGGCAGTCCACCTGGACGATCGTGTCCACAGCCTTCTTAATGCTTTCTTCGTTCACCGGCAGCGCTTTCATGTAGTTCTCCACTTGCACATGCAGATCCTTTACATGCTGAAACCACCCAGAGCCCAAACTTGTCTGTTCCGTGTCTGAAGGGACTTGATAGGCACCCGGGTGATTCCATTCTACAGCAAGGGGGTCAGCCATCCTAGATCATGTACATGTAACACGACTAAACGAAAAAGGAACAGTTTAATTGGTTACAGTTTAATTGGTTACAGCAAACAGCATGGATAGAAACTTGAATTGGGTGCTGTCGTGCAGTATGTATTTTGCTGGTTCGTGTGTGCACCTTCCAAGTTGTAACAGCAATTCATGTACAATCAATTCCTTCCAATATGACAAGCTGTGACGCAGTTGAAACTGGTCATTTCACTTTCATTTGTAAAGGAAGACACAAATGTTTCATTTTTAAATTCTAGTGCAATGTGCTGGATGTGAAAAGTGTAGATGCAAAACTGAGTAAATTAGTGATAAAAAAATTGCACAAATAACCAAGATATTACTATTAGGCAATCAACATAGATAACTTGTACGCTGTAACTGGAATTGCCTCAACTTAAAACCTAGTTTCCATATGGTTGTGACAGGATGCCAACCACATGCAAGATGTCAAGACACAGTCAAAGAAATGTCATTTTACCAAGAAAATTAACCAAACAGTTTCCGAAACTTGTAAAGTTTTTGCTGGAAACGGTTTCCGAAACTTGTAAATTTTTTGCTGGAAATGCCCTAAGATATACCTCTTGTCTTGAAACCAAACTGATACACCAATTTGATGTAGTTCATTTATGGTCAGCTGTTTTGTTCACAATTAGGGTGTTATTTTTTAGTAATACAGAGAAAATGGGCAAACTGTATGACAGTAAGTGCCAAAGACATTGTTGTGCGCCAGCCATGCCAGCATACAAAAATACATGGTCTACTCTGGTGAGTCAATACAGACAGTCAGCTAAGTTGATAGCTGTCCCTATTTGTGAAATTTGCATCGATTGGGAAAATCCCCGACAAGATGTTTCCATTTATCGGCATAGCATCACGGGCCCTTTGGCAAAGCTGTCAGCAATTTCAATGATATCCAGGCTTCTCACATGCATGCTGTAGGAATTTAGGCCTATTGACTTCTCACATCTTGACATGTTGTACATGTATGACAACCATTCCAAAATTACCTTTGGAGTCCATGTACGTGTAGTCTTCCTTTTTATAAATGAGGCGGTGCGGTAATCCAGGAGTTTTGCAAAAAAGTTTTGCCCATGGAAACAACTGCAACAAGCGTGCGCATACACATTGATCAAAGAAAAGATTGTTTTCCCAATCCGCTGACTGGTTGGTATGCATGTACATCACCATGGTGATTGTTTTCATCATCACGGTGTGGTTATTACCTGCTATTTTGAAATCACACTGCGATTGGTCCAATTTGCTTCCATTCCAATGACCAATCATAGCTCAGCTTTCATTTGGATGGGGTCAGGTAAACATTAGGAAAAGATAGGAGCTGTGTTAGAATCGGTCAAGCTGTCGAACAGCTGACAGTTATTGAGAGTACATGCTCAGTCTAGTGATGCTTCTGATTTCTGTAGTGTGGATGGGCAAAATGCTCAAGAATTTCTCCATTTTGATGAGGATATAAGGTGAACAAACCTTCCCATCTGACATGTATGAAATTTGGTTGCACTAATAGCTGTGATGGACATGATTGAAGGCTAAGTTGTCACAATCAAAACAGCCAAAATGTGTATTTAGAAGATGGATTTGTGCCGGAAAGGTGTAAATTTTTGGATTTTTGTCCTTCCCGATGTGTATTTTAATACTGTTAAGCTCAGTGGTCGCATGGTTAAGATGTCTGCACTAGTAAACTGGAGGTTGTGGGTTCGAGTCCCACCCGAGTACGCTTGTGGTTTTTCACAAGCCTTCGGGGGCATACACTGAGTATACAGTGTTAAAATACATGTCAGGAAGGGCAAAAATCCAAAATTTTGCCAAAATATGTTTATGGGAATTAGTACATGGCTATCTGAAAGGTTTGCATAAACCATGTAAACCTTACAGTTCAAGAAGTAATTTTCCTCAATTGTAAAAGGGATAATTTCTCCCATTATAACAAAACTTCCCGGGAGTGTCCAAGAACTTTAATTTAAGAAGCAAAAGTAAGGATTGCTCACAGCTCACCCAATCACGCCCAGCAGCGTGCGAGCCACTGAAACGATTGGTCATGTTGGCTTGTTTGCCAATTATTGAATTAGTTAATGCACAATAGGCCTAGGCCTAGCCTAGGCCTATTGTGCATTAGTGTTGATCTAGTGTCGATCATTGAAAAACAACACTTTATAAAACCATTGAAACCAAACTCTCTCACAAGAATAATGAACGAGAATAACGAAAGACTCTAAATTTTACTTCTAAAATCTGGCACAGAAACATCTGTTTGTCCTGATAAGTTTACCTTCCCAAACAAGGTGTCGTACTTGTTCATGTCATCAAGAACGGCGGAAATGAATTAAAATTTATTTTGCAGAAACCGAGACGTCATACAAACTGGGGCGAATATTTCAAATGGAAAACTTGAGGGAGGCGACGAAGGGTGCCTGACTATTTGTGTTACCTCACATGAGGTATGCAAATTCGGGAAATTCCTGTTTCACACTTGATCCCAGGGAAATGTACTCTATGGATACTGATAATAATATAGCAAATCGTCAACCTCGTATGCAAGTCGGTTGGGGATTCCCCGGCTGATTTTGTCATTGCACACTCAATCACCAATACATGTATTAATATTCGACCAGGTACAGTGGTTAGAAAACAACCACGCCGAAAAAGAGGTTGTATACAACTTTCAGTATCGCCAGATGTCATGGCTTTTTGTCGATGTGAGTTGTTTGCAGCGGCATAAATCCACGCTGGCGACTAAGGGGTGGACTGACGAGGATTAAGTTGTAGGCCTTTCCTCAAACACTGCTGCATTCTGTCTGACGGTTTAAGTTGGAAATAACCTAAAATACGCATTTCCGAATTCCCAACATTAAAGAGTGAGGGTGATCAAGTGGGTCAATCCCCTGGTTGCAACGTGAAGGGATATGATAATTTTATGCTCCGAGAACTCAAAGTAACTACTCTTTCATACTCTTTGGAGTCGCAGCGCTATGGTTGCTTTTAAACCGAACTTGAAAGGTGAATAATCCACAGGTGGAACAAAGCTATTTAAATCAAATTTTCCCGTGACAGCAAACTTCTGTAACCTTTAGCTCTTAAAGGGGGTGGAACAAGGATTTCAGACCATGAGACCGAGTATTTTTTTATGAGATTTTTACTCACCGATCTCTCGCTTCCACCCGACGACGATCCGTTCATCATGCTGTTTGTCTTTATCAGATTGCGCATGCGGTAAGCTCACCAGTGGCAAAGATTGCTCCTCAGTCTTGGTTCGACCATTTTTGGTACTGGGGATGCCAACTTTACTTGTTTATGCACGACCGTCACGCGTCGCGACGACATGCGCAGCCTGTGAATTTTTGTTCCGTAGGTGTGTGAGTCAAAATACATGAATCAATCATAAGGCCTTGCTGAACTCCAATGACCCAGCATACATTGCCTGTACACAGTGTTTCTGTGTGTACCGTGATCGCGGCAATCCGATCCGACCGCTTGAAGTTTTTTCCATTTTGTATCTAAAACTAGGTTTACACTATGTTCCCGGGGGCCACTGCAATCATTTCTGGCCACGGTGGACAAAACGGTATGGACGTGATACAACGCAGGGGAGTGGGATAGGCAAACGTGACAGTCCGTGATTGCCCGGGATGCTGGGCCAGATTTTTAAACTGTCCAAACATTTTGCCACGGCAGTCACGATGCGGATGAGAAACCTAGTAGGCCGTAGTTCACGGGGTGAACGCAACAAAACGTGCGGACAGAACGTGATAGGCCGTAACGAAGCTTGGAGACGGTCTGTATATAATGGGACGGGAAGTATGTGCATTCCCTGGCATCTCACGATCCTTTTAGGTTTTGACACGCTGTTTTGCCACGTTTTGTCACGGTTATCACGGCAAGCTAGGGTGTTCGGTAGCCGTTTCGTCGCGTCCAATCACAGTGCCGTCCAAATGCGTGACGGTTTACATGCCCCGTGCGCAGGATGATGCGGCACGTTGCGTTCTACTACGTACGGCGAGCGCGGTCGGGGAGGGAGTATAAAAGCCCGGCCAGGCAGGGCAACTATTCATGCAACATGATAAAAAACTACTTTTGTCGAGAAATCAGCTGAAGGCAACTTCTATCACCTTTAGAAATGTGCAGACTTTACAGTGGCTTATTACATATTAAATCCGAACATGATTTGTATGGGCAGTACAATAGACCTTGAGAAAACTCAGCAGGACCTATGAAACTTGACTACGGCGAAAAGAAATTGCCAAAATCCCACAGTGCACTACGTTTTAGGCAAACGTGATTGCCGTGGCCGCCGGGAACGTAAACCTAGCTTAAAAACAAGTCCAACTTGAAGGCAACACAATTATCCTAGAAACTTAGTACCATCATCAGTTTCTGAATAGTTTATATGTGCACTGTAGTTTGGTTCAATTCGTGGTTTCATCAAGTTCAATTCTTGTGTAGAAAATGAAATCCAATTTTGACACTCACACCGTCAGAAGAAAGATTGTTAAATTTTTTTGCGCATATTAGATAAGGTATATTACACAGGTATATTACACTGTCTTCAGGGAAACAATTTGCCCCCCCCTACGGTCCACTAGCTAAGTTGTGTCCTAGATCCACGTAGTTTGCCAGGCCGGACTCCCATTCTTAAGCCCACATGGCATGAGTCATGAGAGGAGAAATCTTGCACTTTTGGCTAAAATTAATGTACATGTATTACTTTGTTTCACTTCCATGCAGTCATAAACATTGCACATATATAAATAAAATTTATTAACAATGCATGAAAGAGTCGGAAATCACTCATGATAAGACTTGTCTTCAAGCTTCCTTGATTAAGGTGCGTTCGTCCACGGTACGGGACTACGTATTTCCCGTTTCGAACTTAAAGGGACTCGCAAGTCCATTTTCTCACAGTTTACGCTACCTTTTATTTTTTATCTCTACTTTTATCGGGTCACGGGATTTCCAAATGCACATCGCTATGGTGTCACTGACGTCATGAGTTTACCACCCATAGACTACATGTACATACAAAGACTTACTGCAGTCCGTTTACCCCTAACCGTACCCTTTGTTGAAAAGTCAATACATTTGCATATGAAATGTACACCAAGGCTATATAAAGAGGGAAGCGGGGATCAAAGGGCGTCAGGCGTATCATACCATTCCTCCGTGATTATACAAAGTATACATGTGTTGGTGCAATTGTTGTGGGTGTAGGAACAGTACGTGTCGCATTCTGGAGGTTGGGTATGAAACTTTCCAAGTAAGCGAGTGGCTCAGTTCTAGACATCACATCTGGATCCTTGAATCTCAGATACAAGTAGACTGTGAGCTTGATAACTGCTTGCACATCGAAGCGGGTTAAGGGGTACTAGTGGGTAAGTTTGGGTATTGCTGGTTCTGCCGGCTTTCGTGTGAATGTACATGTACTAGGTTTGTCTGTTTGTCTCCTTGTATATCCAGTGGTCCGAAGGGTCTGTAAAGTTAGATCTGATCCGAATCAAATAACATCTGTGATAATCATTACCCCCCAAAAACAAAAACAATACAAGCATAGAAACGTAAAATATGGAGGATTTTTTCTTACATGGAATTTTTAGATACTCTCTGATGGCTGAAATGCCGTACACCTTTTCCCTGAACATTAGGAACCAATAATACAAATCTTAAAAATAGACCATAACCATCACAGATTTATCGCATTATTGAAAATAAATAAATTAAATTAAAATGTATTTTTCTTTTAAGTGCACAGTATTTTGCCATATAAAGTAAATATATGCACAGGTCCCCCAAAATCTGTATGTTAACTGAAGAAAAATCATAAATTTCGGTGTGAAATAATTCATGGACTGCTTCTTGATTATTCATTCATTCTTTAATATACCGTTTATTTTGTTCATAATGATGTCGAGTAGGCAAAACACATTCCAGGCTCATATCATCACGCATGTGGGCCGAGGTCTGCATTAGAATAGACTGGGGGGGGGGTGCCGGTGCCGTCAATACTCTGACACCCAGGAATTTCCCAAGGACCCATTTTCCCCGCAGAGCGGTCGTGCACATTTACTATAATGTTCTAACATCCTGAGGTTTTTTTTTTCTGGGGAGGGGTGTCATTTTCTTAAGCTGACATTGTTGGGGGAGGATCTTGTCCCTTACGCGGCACCTCTCTTACGTACATGTAGCTGCCTAAACGAGGATACGTGGTTGCATTACGTTGCTTGGAGCAACAAACCAATTTTTCTATTCCATCTTGAGCCTTTCAAACACAAGAAAAGAAGCTCACTCTCGATTTTTAAACCGCGGGGAGTCAGGTTGGCGCAGCGATAAGTACTTTCCTCGCCGGTGTCAATCCCCCCCCCCCGTTTTTCAAATTTCCACGGCCAGAAAAATCATCCCCCCCCCACAATTCCTCATCCTCCATCCCCCATGTTTCCAGCACAAACATATGCCACTGCTCCCACGTCTAAAACGGAATATTTTTTCTTACCCACCCCCGGCGCCCTAGGGAAAACAGTTTATATCTGATACTTAAGGGCTTTTAATTAAGAATAAATAAAGAGGTTGCCACGACGATAGCATCAGTAACACTGCAGTTTGACTGATACTTTTTTATGAGCCCCCAAACCCGAATATATCACAAATCTTTAAGACTGATGTGAAGTGTTTAACGTGAACGATCTCCTTTTCAGGAAAATCAGTGCCCGTTTCTAATCAGCGCTTAAATAAGATGGCCCCACACGGCCACCATCACCATGAGCCAGACGAAGAGGAACAGAGTCAGCGGCTGAACGAACTGCAGCACCGATCGGAAGGACTGGAAGACGAAGAAGGATTCTTGAATGACAAATACAAGTTAATAGATTCTGCTACTTTTCCCATCAACCAAATTTATTACACGAATACTTCAAGCGTATAAACCGTAGGACAGCCTCCCACCTGGTCATATACCTTTCTGTTAGAGCCTTGTGCAGGTATTTTAAAATCTTGCAGTCTTATTCTAACTTGAAAGTGAACGCTATCAATCTGAGCTAAAGAGTTTGTATTTAATAAATAGCTGTCTCTAAAAGTTTCCAATGTACTTGGGTAAATCCAAAACATTTAAGGATTCGATCGGTGAACATGAGTGGAAAACCATACGAAAACAGAAAGTCCCGGTGAAGGAGAAAGGGAGCCGGGTTTTACCGTAGTCCAGAATTTAGGAATGTCACATATGACACCGTGGCTGGTCGTGCGAGCTCGGGTGGTCGAATTATCAATAGGTGCATCGCCTTCACAGGGCCGAGGGCCCGGAGAGAGGCAAAAGGTGCTTGGGGGAAATCGGAAAATTTAAAAAAGGTGGGAAAAGAAAAAGAAAACCGAAATAAATTTTAAAAGAATAGAAGGGGAGGAAACTTACTAATTTGTGTGAAAACATCCAAATTGAGCCCTTCCCTTGTTAATGATTTATCAGTTCGTTGCTGATCAGTGCCCCGCCCGAAAATTTCCATCCCCAGAAAAAGGACTTCCCCGTCCTTCTCCCCCCCCCAAAAAAAATCCTGGAGACGCCAATGAATTTATGACATTACGTTTGGGTCAGACCTGTGGGATGCATAAACAAGATATGCAGTTCTTAAATACAATCACGTAAGTAGAGACCAAATATGTTGTAAAGTTTTAGGATAAGTTTTGGTGTGTTGTTGTTGTTGAAGGAAGAAAACTTCTGGTATTACGCTAATGTTCTCACGCACCAGGCAAAGTGAAAGTACGGTGGCTGGGCCTGCCATGTCATAGTTGGTTGTATGGCGAACTCTCCGCAAGTCCGCATGCAGAATTTTAAAAACAGGAAGCTCATTTGGCGAAAGAGTTTTGACAGTCTGTTAAACCTTTGTTACACTAGCCTTGACTGCTGCATTGTGTTTTGTGCAGTTTATTGAGGTACCTACGGGGCTATGATTGGGATGTAGACACGGCTTATCACAAACTCAAAGCTACGCTGGAATGGAGGCAAGAACACCGGCCATGGGAAGCCGACTGTAGGTACTGCGAGGAGAGACCGGGGTTCCACTCGTGGGTAAGCTGTTACATTGCACAGAAGTGAACTCCACATTGTCTTATGCTTTATTTTTTAGACAAACTAAAACAGTTTCACAAGTAAACAGTTTTCCTACCCTGTACAAAAGTGCTAATGTTTGCTTTGCGGAGTATAGTTTCTTTCGGAGGTCATCTTATTTTCCATTCCTTATAAATTTCAACATTACAGCCATTCTTCAACCCCCCCCCAAATGGCTCCATGCATCAAACGGTCTTTTTGCCAAACATTCAAACATTGGATAATTGATGTTACATGTATTTCATGAAGTGACATGTTTTGAATAGATTCAGATCTCAATGTGACAGAGACAAGATTTTTTTCATGAAGGTTTATTGAAACTTAAGTTAAAAAGGAATGCACATGTGTATTAAAATAATGTATACTATTTTCATCTTAACAGAGACAGGTTGGAATTGACAAATTGGGTCGACCTGTTGTGTACTCATCATTTGTTCAAGCTGCGAAGCACTTCACGGCCGAAGACAATGTACAACACACGCTATTCCTGATGGAAAATGCCAAGAAATGCATGAGACCTGAGGAATACAGATGGGTCTGGGTACTAGACTGCTCTGGTAAGCTTGGAAAAGGAGGCATACAAATGAGTAATGGCGATTCTTAAATTGAGTGTTTTTTTCAGAGTATGTCACGGTTACTTCCAACTGAATTAGGATTGCTTAAAAAACATACAAATGAAAGCGAGAGCAGATCCAGAATCAACTTTTAGGAGAGGGGAGGGGCCACAAATTGGGTTTTTTTTGGAGGCCAAAATATTGAAATTTCTGTAACCTTTTATGGCCATTCCGCAGGGTAATGCTATTTGGGACAGTTTAATACTTTTGGAAGGAAGAGACGTGAAAAAGTTCCAAAATATTAGCTTTTTTTCTCATTACTTTTAACAAAAACAAAAACTTTGCTGGGGGGCCCCCTCAGATCCATCAGTGTTAGGAATTTGTGGCTTAGTATGTGAGAAAGGATGGAAGGCTGATCTGATACGAAATTAACCATGAGATTTCAGACCAGTGTTTTATTTCTTGTGTCTCTGTTTTTCAGGGTTGACTCTGGCAGCTTGCAATCCCATTTTAGCACGTGCTGTGAACCATGTTGTTGCCGAACATTATCCGGAGAGGATGGGCTTGGTCATTGGGGTCAACCATGGCATCTTCTTTGAGGGCATCTGGAGGGGATTCAAGCTCTTCATCCATCCCAGGACAGCCAGCAAGCTGCGGCTGTGCCGCGGCCAGCACGTCGACGAGACCTTCCGCGAACTCTTCCCGGACGACCTGCGGGAGTGGCTCCACCAGGAGATAGAGCTGAACTCCCAGCGCCACGTCTCCCAGGCGCAGATACAATTCTGGAGGAAGCCTGAACAGGACGGGGCACATGACCCCCGGGGGTGCCCCTCCTATGTCAGTCAGTACATTGACAGGTACAATAAAGATGTTATCTTGGCCAAAATCAACGGGAATCAAACATGCAAGGAGACAAGGATTCATCGACCCCATCCCAACATTATGCAAGCGTTACGAGAACAGGCAACAGAAAAAGCAGCAAGCAGTACCGAAAGTGACTGATGTAAAACACCCGATCACCTTTTGGTGAGAGGTGGAAAGATGGAGTCAGACTGGGTGTAAAGAAACACATACATTTCTGCATAATCAAGCCATGATCAAAGTATGTTCATATCAGCAAACAACCAAATAAAACCAACAAAATGAATGGCAGTTCTGTATCTAGTGAATTTATTTCAAGAGTTTGTACCACCAGTGTCCCTAATAAATTTATTCTCCCTTTTTTATGTACAGAATAGAAAGTTTACCCAAGATTAATAAAGGAAATGGGTTCATTTATAAACCTAAAATAAGGAATACATTTTCTGTTCTTTAAACTGAAAATGATGCAATGAAACTTTAAAACTTTCAAAATAAATGAAGCACATTATATTAACATGGTATGCATAATTAGCTTGACAAAACCTTTCCTCCCAAAAATAGAGTGCTATGGTTTCTTTTAACCTCAAGCGGACAGTTTTTCTTTTCCTTGCATTCCCTCTCTTTTAAAGCTTTGTCAAGTTCCTGATAGGAATGACAAATTTGTCCATCATGTTCTGGGCTAGAATGGAGTTCCAACACATGTTCCCAACAGGCCTTTCGCACATGACCAATACCCTTTATCACAAAAATGCCTTTTCACACTACAAACTCTCAACCTGGGTTGAACTCAGCCCTGGGTGAACCCATGACCGCCCTGGGTTGAAAATTTGAGATTTCAACCCCGCGTTGTTTCACACTCTTTTTGTGCGAATTGAGCTTATCAGGATGAGTTCGACCTGGAAATGAGCACAAAAAATTGTCAACCCTGGTTGAAAAATCTCAGGGTTGGCAAGGGATTGCCAATATTCAAGTGTGAATTGTTGCCAGTTTTCAACCGTGCATCAACCTCGAGATTTAGAATAATATCTGGAGTGCTATCCAGCCCAATTAATGAACAAAAGAATTTGCACTTTGATTTCCCCAGACAAAAGAGTTATCTGAAATGGCTCAGGTCAAGCTTTCACACAGGTGCACAGGAGACACCAAGTAACAATACACAATGTGTAGAAGTAGCACAAAGGATTTAGACATCCCTGAACTAGACAGCAGTCTTGTACCACTTGTCCAAATTCGTGTGGTACAACAATGGTGTAACTGGTCTGGTGAATAAAATTTAGGTATACAAATGTCATGGAAAACCTTTCAAGATATTCGTATTCAAACTGACCAGTTCATAGCATTTTTAGACCTGAGGGCATTCTCCTCTAGACTGGTTCTAGCATGATTTTTTTTCCAGAAATTCCTAAATGATAGTCTCTTAATTTAGCTGGTTCCCATGTTACATGATGACCAATGATTACTGCCATCTTAGATCACTCAGGGCTTTCTCCCATTGGCAGCATGTTCTTGAAGGGCAAAAGTTGATGTGGTGCTGAAATCATACAGTAATTAATTAGTACCGTCGGCACTTTTGAGCAGTATAAAAATGTTCAATTGCAAGCCTGTACTCTATGTTTGTATGTTTAAGGAATAACTTGAGTTTTTTACACAAGTTATTCAGCAGAATGAGTAGGAAGTACATGCATTTCTCCAAGTCCAATGTAATGCATTCTAGTTACAAATCCAAATCAAAAAGTTGTTCTAGTTATTTAGCCAGAGATATGAAATGGGTAGAGTGAGAAGGGTCATAATTTAATCATAGATGTATTGTCCTGAATTATCCAACATGATTTGAATTTGAGTGTTTATTTTAGTTTCCAAGTTTTGGTTTCTTTTGGTATACCCATATAGTTCTTTCAAGATATATCTGGATGAACTGCATTTCTCAAAAGTTTAACGGCCGGAATTGAACTTTGTTTCTAAGCACTCCTCTATCTTTTTGTTCTTTTTTCTTGATTGTAAACTGATACTCAAATGAAGAATATTTTACTCCAAAATAATAAATCCTTTATTAATACAACAATCAGTAATCTGTTCTCTTTTTAGGTAATCGGGCAGTGCCAGGTCACCTATGTACCTGAGACGTCATTAATGACGTTATGCTTTGCATACCTATGCATTTCTTATGGCATCCAGGTGCGATGTGATTCATCAAGCCCCACAGGAAAGTGCACATGTAAACAAAGCATGATGTCATGATGTTTTCGGTTAATAGGGTTTGTTGTGGTCTGTCTTTCTCCTCCCTTATCCTGGATAGTTCTCCACGTCTTTTCTTTGAGGAAGTATACCGTATAAACGTGACAATTGATATGAACTTTGACCTCGATTCCCACACATGCATACACATATGATATGATATCATCTGGTATCAAATTAAGAGCAATATATCTTCTACCAGCAGTACCTCACAAACTTTTACAGATATGGTGTATTTTGGGATATGAGAGATTTTGAGTTGGGCGACAATTTAACACAAGAATTGCTAATGTAATAAAATGAAAGGCCCCCCCTTCTGGCACATCAAAGACAGTTAAAGTTATATTTGCAATATGTTTTTCTTTACTTTGAAGAAAGCAAATGAAAACCACTTGATACAAAGTATTTTGGGAAGTTCCAAAATAGTAACGCCATCATCGAGGAAGTCACCGAAGGGCCAAATTTGGAGATGACCCCTTTCCTCTTCAATTGACTTGATCAATTAACATACAGTACATGTACTACAGATATCTCGCTTCAGTGTGATGCGACCAACTAGACAGTCTGATGGCATACATCAACATTCTGTGATGTCATCAAACTGGAAACTGACATCACCTGATCACCTCATTTCTATCTAAAACCAACACCTCCCTTCTTTTGTTTCCAAATATAGAAAAATATCATCTTTCATCTTTTTATACATGAGCACAATAAGCACTTTGAAAATAGTCTAAAGAGCAGATCAACAGTTTTAAGGGGTACATCCCTCAGATTTTTAACTCATTTTGGGCAGGCCGAGAAAAAGTCAGGAGAAGAATCCTCATTGGAAAAAGTGGACAAAAATACCTACATTTGTCAATGCTGGCCCTGACTAACTCACTGTAGTTAATGGATTCTCTTTGCCTGTGTTACACTAGTTCATTACGTGAATGATGTCATACTGAGCAGATTAAAAAGGACTTTCCTGTCCCCGCCCAACTTCTTTTTCCCCCACCCCTCCTCCCTTTTTCAATGTTTTAGCTATTAATGCAAACTTAAAACGGGCTCAACAGGTTAAAATTCCTTCACATGATACACAAAAGTATCGGCAAAAGAGTTCAAAGTTCCACCTCCCATCTTTCCAAAAAGTGGCCGCCTCCGCTACTTGTTAAAGAAAAAGCCTGACAGGAAAATGTCTTTTTTAAAACCTGGCTTACATGGACTAATAAAAGCTTTCAAAAGCCAAACAAACTGGTAAACATCCCGATAACCAAGTATGATACACAGATCAAATCATTTAAAAAGCTAATAACTGTAATGCTTATCAAGAATATCTACAATTCCCTCAGTCAGTCATCCTTCAAAATTACTGAAAATTGATTTAAAGGTAGAATGCATCCTCTGTTACAAGTGCCTTCTGGGGGTGTGAAGCAACAAAAGATCTCAAATCTTACCGATGAAGTTTCAGCTCTGCAGATAATGTTCTTGACGAAGTGCACTTATTTCTCAATCCAACAAATCTGGACACTCGTACACATAAATCCTCCCAGCAAACCCCTCGGCAGACGCTGACTTACAAGCAGACCTGCTTATCCTGATATGGGCTGAGCGAGGTCTATGGGACTTGCTACAACCGCAGCTATCTTAAAGCCTAAACCAGTCCTGTCCAGTTCACTCAGCAAGCAAAACAGAATTTTTTGTGTGTGTGCATTCTGTCGTCTTACAGGAAATGGTTGAGTCAAACATTCAAATATTTGCAAGTGTAACGTTCTGAATTCCTGTTCTTTAGTAAAAAGAACTATATTCTATAGTCAAGATATCAAAACAAAATCAGAGGTAGTTGATTAATAAACAATTACAAAAACAATTACTTCTACTGCCACTCACCAATAGATCCTACATACATTTTTATGGCCTGAATCCAGCGTTTACATCAGTAATATGTTCAGTATATCAGTAATATACATGTACTAGGATTTGTCAAATATTGCCCTACCACACATATTTGCCCGATTATAAATCAGAACACATTGGAAAAGTATGACTTTCTTCCATCATTTTCTTCAAAGTGGTAGCATGCAAGATGAAATCATTTCACCATGGGTTTAGTGCCATTACTATACAAACCAATTACAATTTTAAAATCTAAATTGGTTGACTATTTTTCGGCTGGCTCCAAATGGTCTCACTCTAACTTAACATCACTAAAAAAACAAAACCAAAAAGCAACTCCTAGAACACTGTGTTTTACCTTTTGTAACAGAATTGTAACTAATTTAGTCATCTCAAGACATGGTTCAGTCTGCGCAGGAACAGAGCACTTTCATTTCACAAACCAACCATCAAAAGTGTAGTCTGCACAACACAATAGCAAAAGTGAGGACATGTTCGTTTCACACAGATCCAAGTCTCGATCAGTGATCCGTCACTGGTTCACTGACACAAGAACCTAATCAATGGATGGTGCCAACCGGAGCTGGAACCACTGATCCAGATCCAGGTAAAACAAACACGCCTTGAGGTAATAAAGTCTTCGGTGAATGTTGCATAGAGCAGAGGAGGGAACTTTACATGATACTTAAGCAAACCAGACACCGATTCTCTGATTCTCCCCTCCATCTCGCTGTCACCCGGTGTGCATCACACAAGGTAGGGACTGTCCATGCACGATGCTCCCATCGCCAATCCACCCTCGTTTATCTTGACATTTTTCGTTCGGAGAAGGTGACCAGCGCATGTGTTCATAACAACATCGCTGCTTTTGCTATTGAACAAACGCAACATAAAAAAATCCAGGATATAATCTACAAAAGGCAGTTTTGAACCAAATAAATACTTCCCATCTAACAATTTCTCTTGCGCTGTTTGTATAGCTTTTAATTCTTAATATGGATTCTTATCATCATCATGAAGCCAGTACAAACTGAGGTAAACACAACTCAGAACGGTATCATTCTTGATAAAACCAGGTATAAGACCCCATCAATTGCCTAATCAGGAAACCAATCCCCATGTTGGCCTGGGTAGGGTTTGAACCCAGGTCACAGTGGTAAGGGAAGTACCACTTGGCCAACTGAACTCCACATAGCAAGGGGAGAGATTTTGTGAACATTTGTGAGTTTTGAGCCAGTCCGGCAATGATCTGATCTAAATCATCTACCAAAACACTTGAAAACAGACATCATCTTACCTCACGAATATGCCGAAGATTCCCAGTTCACTGACCATGTCTTTAAGTTGTACAGGTTGATTTCCACGGACTTCATAATTGGAGATGACCTGGGGATGGATCCGCTCCATCAAGATATATGCTGCTCGCTCTTCCTTCCCTTGCAACTCTGTCAGTGTTTGCATCAGCTCGTCTCCAAAGAAATTGTTACCTACCAAGGAAAGTTCAAACGAACTTAATTAAAAACACCATCGATTGGGTGAAGGTGGTTTCTGCCATACTTGATCTAAATGAGCAGAATCATACTTGGATTATGGTTATTTCTCAAAGTCATGACAAAAACACAATCAATCAAAATTGATTCTATTAGTAACTACACCAAAGGATTTTTAAGCAGTAATTAAACCAAACAAGCTACAAAAAGGCCCAGCAAACTCACTTGATGGATAGGGAATAACAAATACCACATTGGAAATATTGACATGCCTTGAGACTGAAGCTGCAAAACGGGCGGGTAAAAGAAAAACCATCAAATCAAGAACTCAGAATGCCAACAAAAGAGACCTTGAGACGCACAGTCGGCGAAGAAGCAACATCAATTTAAAACTAACTGAAATTGTGACTCTTACCCCCGCCTTCTCTCTGTGGCTTCAAGACATATCTCTCAGGGTCCCGGATGCCCATGATAGCTGCTGCATCACCCTCTTCATCCTTGTTGTCAACAAAGAGTTAAGGAGACATACAAAATTGGTGGTATTGACAGAGGAAGGGCAGGGAGGTAAGGGATAAATGGAACGAAGAGACAACTGAAAGCGCCAGTGGCCTTTAGATGCATTCCTTATTTTACTGCTTACGGCCTCGGACCTGAAATGGAAATGATCAGATCCTTGCCTTTCTGTTGAGACATCTGGCAACAAGCAAGTGCTTGTAATTGTTGGAGTACTTTTTTTGGCAAACCACTTATATCTGAACAGTAAGAATATCATGAAGTCAGGTTTTGAGGGACAGAAGATGTATTAAAAGATTCACCAAAGCTAATCAGCCTAAGACAAATACTTAGTAGTTTCAGTTGGTGCTTGTAAACCATTGGCAGAAATGTAAAATGCAAAACTGCTATAGTGACTGAAAGCAGATCAAAAAAGTTAGAGGGTCTGACATTTCAACCCTTGCAAAATCTTTCTTGATGGCCTTTGATAAAAACTGTACGAGGATTGCAACATCAGGCCCTCCAACTTTTTCTGTCACTGCCAGGATATCATCCACAGATATCCATGATTAATAGAAAGTTATTGTTGGCCAAACATTGCCCAAGGGAATTGGACATAAAAAACACAGCACTGTGAGAAACTCAAGACAAATGTTCACCAGTTCCAGGTGGTACTGGCCGGCAAATGTCGCCCTGATGTCAGCAATGATAGCTGGATCATCCAGGAACTTCTCCAAGACTCCTGGCCTAGACAACTCCTGTTGGATCTTCTTGGTACCAGCTAGATGCCAGTCGATGGAAGGACAGGTCACCGCCAGCGACTTTTCAGCGAGGAGTTTGGCATCCCACGCCTTGCGTGAAGCAAGGTAATGTAAAAAAAAAAAAAAATGGAACTGTTGGAATGAGACACTTTTTGATCCGCAGGTCAGAAGTGAGTTCAAGAACTTCCTGATAATTTTTTAAAGATAACACCTTTAACCCTGAAAAATCTGCAGGGGGGGCACCACCCAGTCCTGGACATTTCCTTCATTATCCTTGTAGTATTTAAATATTAAGCTTTCAGAAGTTTTCCCAGCAATTTCTTATGATCATAGGGACAAAAATTATGAAAATCGGACCTACTTTTTTCCAGACAGGTTAGCAAAATATGCTATCTTTTCCCTTTGACATGTGCTCCATGCATGTGGGCTGGTACACATGAGGGCATTAACCACACCATGCCGGGTGGAGTGCACCCGAATGAATGACTGTCTTGTGGGGACTTTAATCTGACAGGCAGCCTCCACTGATGTATTGCAGCCACGCACGCCACCAAGTAAAGAGCCCCCATTGCACAGTGTTGTGTAATTTCCTCTTTGTTCCGGAAATTGGCCCAGTGCGTTGCTGGATGGTGGTGCTGTAATGTGGCCAGATTCCACGAGCGTACAGCAGTATTGTGTCACCCATCGCTGGAGCGCTGGAGAGCTCTGCTGATAATCCGCAAGCGCGCACAGCAGCAAGCCATGGTGCTGTTTCAAAACAATGACAGATTACCTCCGCCAATGTCAGCACAGAGTGCTGACAGCATATGAACCTTGATTGGCAAGTCCCAGCAGTTTGGTCTTTTGTTACGAGTTAGGTCACCCTGGCCATGAATATACGGCCGAAGTCTCTAGTACTTGGAACCCTGGCAACGAGTGGTTCACTAATGTACTCACAATGAATGTCTTTACACACAGGCCACATTTCATGAAGATTGGACAAGGGACAGTCAAGAACTTAGGAGCTATCCCTTCCAAGATTGTCCAAAAAAATCCTGTTAAGGTCAACCCTCACTCTACAGCGAGGGGGGCATGTGGCCAAGTGGTTAGGGTTTGTGGCTTCCAATCATAGGGTTGGAGGTTCGAATCCAGCTGCTGGCAGTATGTTGTGACCCTTGGCAAGCCTCTTCACCCCTGCTTGCCTCTCTCCACCCAGGAGAATAAATGGGTGCCAGCATTAGCTGGGGAGGCAACCTGCGATGGACTGGCATCCCATCCAGGGGGGCGAATAGAAATATAAAGATTTTATCAGTACCCAATGCCCGTTGCATTTAGAGTACATAGTTCGATAGTCATTCTGCCTTATTTCAAATGTTTCACAAGCACGCATATGGATTCATAATGTCTGCTCCCAGGAAGGCGTAAAATTTTCTCTGCGCAGCGAATGAGAAGTTAGCGCTCTGGTAATTTAATACAGCTCCATGGGCTGAGGTCCATCATCCTTCTCTGCTTGACAATCCTGCCAAATCCTCCGAAATGCCCCGGTGGATTTAGAAGGAGCTGGCAGGGTTAAGGAGCTCAACTCCAACTGACCTTTTCACCACAGCAGAAGTGGGAGGGGACATAACCGACTCGGTAATACACCACAGCCACCTCTAGCCCATCTCTGCAAGCAAAACAGCAGTCACCACGCGTGAACAGGGGCAGTACTTGAGGGACACTCGCAATAAAAACCAGCACAAAAACGAACGCAAATGCAAACCTGTGACATCAGATTAAATGTCTGTGTTACTAACTCAAGCCAACTGAAGTTCAACACATTTCAACTCCAGCGAACTTTGCTGCACACTCTTCTGTGATGTCACATTTGCGTTCACTTTCACCTGAAGTTTGAACCTGCCATGAAGCACAGAAACAAAGACACTGCACAGCATACACAAGAAAGCGATCCCTACACAAGACAGACAAAAAAGATGCACTCACACAAACAGCCGTCGGTCTTCAGAGAGGTGGCCTTTCTTTCCCATCTCTGACAAGCCTCGACGAATCACCCGGATACAAGGCACCTTTTTCTTCATCATAAACTCCAACAGCCTTTGATCAAAAATGTTCTGCTCTGGACAGCAAACCACATAACAGACCACAGCCCTATCCCATAAACAAAGACGAAAAACGAGTGCTAAATTGTGGGGAAAAAATTTCCGAAGTTTCTTGTGAAGAAGGAATCAATTTCTGGGAAATCCAATTCATTTAATGATAAATAAACAACAACATTTATTGGTCCTGATGCTATTATCCCTACTCACTGAGCCATGTGATCAGTTTCTACACCTGTTTAAGATCTGTGTAATTTGACCTTTACCCTCCCAGGTACCTGTTTATTCTCCGAGGTAGAGAGCGGAATGCCACATTAAGGCTTGACTACAGAATTGTTACATGTACATGTATGTTGAACACCTGAACCACTTCACCGTGTTACTCCAATAAAAAAAAGTTCTTGGATTTATGTAGCATATCAAGGTTTCTTTCAATCTTTTGGAGACTTTTAAGCAATTCACTTCTTTCTTTTACTTTTTACCCAAACCCATGATTTTCCACATTCATCTGCGACTTTGTTGTACATTTTTGCATGACTTTCACGACTTGAATAAATAGACAAACAAACTGCTCTCATAACTTACTCTGTTCTTCCATACAACTGCCACGCCTTTACCATTCCCTCAGCCAGTGCTTCAAGTGATTCATTCTTTGGCAAATTGTCTTCAAAATTGCTTTGAGCACCCGAATGCAGGCCCAAGTTGTATCTGTTGGAGAAAATGGATCAGTGGACAGTCAGGTTGGTGTAGTGGTCATTTTCTTGTCTTCCTCCTGTGAGACCCTGGTTTAAATCCCTGGACTTTTGTCTCCATTCCTAAAACTTTCTGTTGGTCCCCCCAACATATATATTTAAAGTTTGCCTCCCACCAGTGAAACTGAGTTTTCCAATGCCTTCTCTCTACAGGTTTCTCTAAGGGATGTGAGCGTCAGCAACAAAAGAGCTTTTGAAAAATCACTAAGTTTTGAAAAAAAGAAAGAGGAAAAAAGAAATAAACAACCTACCAAAAAACACTAAAATAAAAACAACGAACAAAAAACAACCACAGATTACAACTGCTAAGCTTGTCAAAGACTGAAAATAAAACCATTGTTTGTCTGGCTCAGATATACTGATTGCCGTGCTCTGCTGCAGCGGCTAACTACACTGTATGCACTGCATTGGTGGAAATGGAAGAGTGAATAGATACAAAATAAAATGTGGGTTCCTTCAGTCTATCAATTTCATTTCCTGAAAGACTGGTTCCTCACATGAAGTTTAGTCTTGGACATCTCCAGACTTAAGACTACCACTCTAGTACAGTTTGCTCACAGAATTTACATTACATCACTCAAACAGAACTGTGTTAAACAATTCCATTTCCAGTACGACCCCATTCCAAACAGGTTAGCATACGGAAAAGGTCACTCTTACACAGTTTAGCAACTAACCTGCTATTAACAGCCAGCAATAGCCTGGGATTTGATTTTCTTTCATCAGCTAATGTTTGCTCTTGCGTCACAGCAGAAGTGGACTTATTTTAGTTGGAGTTCATTGTTCACTGATCATGCATGCAGTGCTTGTTTACAAAGGTGCTCAAAGTTTCTTTCCAAAAAAAAAATCTTGGCACAGTATGGGATCCACACTGTTCAAGGTTCACTACTTTTCACCAGGATGGAAAGTAAATGGTGAGGGCAACAAATCCTCTTCAGGTTCAATACATGATTGATGATTTGGAATTAGTTTAAGAGAGAAATACCCAAGAGGTCAGAGTTTTGGCTGTTTTGACTGAGACTGATGGGCTGCATTACTGACTTGTGAAGATGGGTCAAGTTGGCTGCTAGGCCCCCAAAACTACTGGCCATTGTGTTAATCTCCACTTGCTTCATGACTTGCTGTGGGCCTGAAGTGTCAATCATGTAGTCGGAGCGAAGCAGGGTTAACTTCACAGGCTGGAATAGTAGGAAAAAAATACAGCAACAAACAAAACAAATTGACCATCATTCTGTTGAAAGTAGCAAGGCATTAATGAAAATGGCCAACAATAAAGTGACAGTGTTCCATTGGAAACTTCGCTGAGAATATGAAAACATACCCTGTGTGTTTGTACATGCACTTTTTACAAAATCAGGCTCACTTAGAAATTTGTAAATGTTTAAAAAGGGTGGACCAGAAGTTCTTTGAACTCTTTGGTCTACCTAACACATGAATGTTACCACATTGCGCAGGCAGACTTTTCAATCAGTTTTAGTTACTCTGAGAAAATGTTTTTGATTAACCATACCTTTGTGAAGCCTGCTTGGTGCATTTCTTCGTATATTTCAAACAATTTTGCAGTGAAATCATCCACTTTTATAGTGCTGGTAAAAACAAAGTTACACAAAAAAGTTTATCAACATGGAGAAAACTTACATCAGTTTCACCAACAATGAGTCATTATCCAATTGTCTTTTGCAATAATGAAGGCTGAAGGAATTTTCCTTCCTCAAGTTATAAATTTTCAGTTTTATGTTGTTAATTTATGTACACATGTAAGTTATTTGCATACTCTACCACCGTGACAAGTCAACAAAGTTGGGGGCTCGAGTCATTTACTCTCAGTGACTCAAGTTGAGTCAATTGCCTGTTGTGATTCAAGTCAGACTCGAGGCAAGTCACTGAATCAAGTCATCACAACTTCAGCACATTCAGAAATGTGTGGAAACAGAATGATGCGAATGGTATCGGCCATGTGGATTGATTAGGCCCAGTCTTTATCATGGCTTCTCATCCAGCAAATATTTTATACATGCACGGTTGTACCTGCAAAAAACATTTTAGAGCCAGCTGCATTTGAACCGCATGGCTGAGCTAGTTGATCTGCTGCAAAAATAAACAGTGCATAGTAGGCCAACTGACTACATGTACATGCTTGTATGCACACGTTTTAAGTAAACAAGCAGGGAAGTTAGACAATACTACACGTATATTTCAGTGTTTTCAACCAAGCTTCATTTTCCTCCATAACCAGCTATCACTGACCCATAGCTACAGCCCAACACATCCGTCCACAGCAGTTTTGGTGGAATTTTAAGAATACATGTACAGATAGCACAATGTTTGTCCCACTGCTCAAACTGGTGCAATATTGTGAATAATCACCCACCTGGAACAAGACCATTAGTTTGTCCCAGGTACAATGTTGTGATGAAACATTATTGATGGTACAAATTTACAGACATGAGATGAACCTTCTTCACAATATTTCATAATACTTCGACAAGAAAGATGTTCATCTTGATCTTCCAATATCTTTTGAAAATAATTGAAAGGAGTTGAAGGGAATTTTCAAAATGTATCAATGAGGCTACATGGATATATATTTATTAAAAAAGGGTCAATCGTTTCCTACATGGTGGAAGATTGCAGAGAATAGCAAGAATGCGTGTGATTAATTTAATAAAATTAACACATCCTCGTTATTTTCTCTGCGATATTTCACTGATCTCACAGTTCCAACCTTTTGAGAGCTGAAGTCATAAACTCCCGGTCTTCGGCCACTCTGTGCATCAGTAGGTTGATGTGCGGCTGTAGACTGACCATACGTTCAAACAGCTGACGTGGGATGGGCGAGGGCAGGAGAGTGTGCGGCACGTAGGTGATGCGATCTGGACAACAGATCTGATCGGGAGACATGTACATGACCACCAGTCCGTGGGTCAGGGCCCAGTCTTTGGAGGATTCCTGGAGGTCGTTCAGGATGTCAGGGCTTAGAGGCAGTGGCACACTCGGCTCCAAGGATGATGAGGTTGCCATGGTTTATGCGATTCTTGTCTTCAATGGCTGAAACTGCAAAGAAATTGAGACCCCTCCAAAAATCAAGGTATTGGATGCATGTTTCAAGCAGAGTCATGACATTTTAAATACAGTATACTGTGGTTTATTGGTGGTGTATTCTTGAGCAAGGTAATCTGCAGTAATGACTTATTTCTCTCGACAGGGGCGTACAGGCACATGCAGAAGTGGTGCACAGCAGAACTCTGAGACTGGTTTGAAACTTGGTGGTGTTCCTTTAACCGATCTCCCGAAAGAGAGAAACAGGGATAATTTAAGTGGATTTAGGAATCCCACAATTGCCCTGGGAATCCTTTTAACTGGATTCAGCAGAAGGAAATTCTTCTGTTTACTTCTGGGGATAAAACAAGGAGGAGTCCGCAATCAGACATAAAGATTGGGAAAAGACTGCATCAGAAACAATTTTTCTGAATATTGATCCTTTACATACAGTAAATCGAGTGACATGGTACAAAGTTTATAAACAAAATGAAATACATGTACACGTAATTTAAAACAGTTTTTTTTATCAAAGCCCCCTCAGAAAAGGTCTCTTTGATCAGGAGATATTTTTATTATTGTTGTTATTACTCATATTTATCAGGTAACTTATTCACCAACACATTGGTCTTCCATAAGCCCTGTCATTTTAGCTTGCGTAAAAGGTCAACAGACGGAGTATCATAATTCCTGTTCAATGTAATTCTTGCTGCACGTTCCTGAAGTTTCTCGAGCTTAGTATACATGCAATATCTTTCTGACCATATGAGGTTGAATAAACAAGTTATAAAGCAGGGTCAAACTTTCTAAAGGAACATATGGTCTGACCCTTCGAAGAATGCTTAATTTCAATTGTACAGTTTTAGTATTTTTGTCCACCTGGGGTGTCTAGTGCAGCTCATCAATTAAAATTCCAAAACATTGGGCAACCTTAGCATGCTTTAAAATAATACCATTAATGATTACATTGAAGTTCTCAATCCTGTTTAGTTTTGTTCGGGACCCAATAATCATAACATTAGTTTTGTTTAAATTAAGCACATGACAGTTGGCATTTATCCAATTCATAACCAGACACACCATTAGTCACTTATTCTTCAACTTCACCAACATTAGTTCCATCGCTTTTGAGTCAACTCGTACCATGGACAACTCGTACCTCGAGTAAAGACCATACCTTCATGTTTGCAATTGGGTCGTAACTTTTCACTCTTCCTTTTCAAGATGTTTAACTTTAAGATCAAATTTGACAAACATATCAAGAAAACATCTCCATAAATCTCCCAAAGAGATCTTGAGCGCCAGCATGGTTTTCTGCCTTGGGCACTTGCATTGTCGGTTTACGTGATGGGTGTTGAACAACCCAACCGTTTACCACTTGACTTCCTTATTAGCATTCTTTTTTTGGGGGGCAAGGACTTTACTAAACTCTAAATTTTGGGGGGGGGGTTGTGTTTAATAACTTGGGGGAGGGAGTACTTAAAACTTGTTAGGTCTTGCTTTCTTTTGAAAAAGTTTCTGGTCTCACTTTTAAATTTTTGGGCGGGGTAGTTGCCTTCCTTATCAAAACTTTTTTTTTTTATTGGGCCATAACTTTACAAACTTTGAAGTAAACGAAAACGTGACATAGCTCCATCATCACAGTGTGCACGGTGAAGATTTCGAATTGCATGCAACGACGACTGGCCACGTTGACCAGTGCCAGTTGCCTGACCTCGTGCGTACATGCATGACGTCGAAGCATCTCACATTAAAAAACGGCAAATTAGGAGCCAAACACATGACTAAGAAATCAGATTATTGTTCAACTTAATTACAATAATAATAAGGTATGAGCAAAGGTGCGACTCGGCAAAGGTATGAGTTGGTGCAGTTATGTTGAGTTGATGGTACGAGTTGTCCAAGGTACGTGTTCCCATTCCATTTACCATGTTTACTGTGAAAGTGGTGTCATCTGCATACATACGTATCAGTAACCTCGTCAGTAACTGATTTAGGCATGCTTTTTACCTAAATGGAAAACATCCAAACATTCTCTCTTTTAGGGGACTTAAACCGCCCCAGTTAACATGGTTAAGGGCACTCTCGAGCTCTCCGAGTTCTGATGCATGCAATGGTAGCACAGGTGTTTCAGGATGTACGAAATACATCATACTGGGGGTGTTACTTAATATTTATTCAATGTTGACTATCAAACACTTACTTGTTCAGTTGTTTAGCACTGAATGTCAAACATCCAACCAGGAACTAACTTCGCATCGGTGGCCTAATTAATTATCTAAACCGGCCTACATGGCATAGGTCTAGTTGGAAATAAATAATTTCGTTATTTAGGCATACTAAATTTAAGCATACATGTGGAAAAAATCCATATCATGCACATGCTTGACTGTCTGTCTACGTCACATTCACCAACATGCACGACATGACCAAGTATGAACCGACGTTTGCAGTGGTTTAAGCTTGAGTACGTGTAGATCCATAGACAGATCCGACCTTTACATGCCGCAGCTATGTTCTACCTAACAATGTCTCAGATAAAAGTTAAACTGAAAGTAAACAGTTAATTTACTAAACCATGGAGGTAGACATACTAAACTAGGCCTAGGCCCTATTTTTGTTTTTTACTAACAATAGTATTAATATTATTCCATGTTTGACGTCGCCTATGCATAGCAAATAACGCCCAGCATGTCCAGGGTACTATTAAGTCCTCCTGCCTACGATGCAAATTTTTTTTCAACGTTTTTTTTCGCACATTTTTACCTAGGGAAGACAGCTTAATGTCGTTCACAAGTGCCTTCTAATCCCGAATTTCATAAAATGCAATGTCGCAATTTGTTCACGACGTACGTTCGTGGCCAGTGGCACGCATTTGCGCATGAGCGAAATGGCCTTCAAGTTCAGCCGATCAGTTATGTTGTATAGAGCTACGTCTTCGCTCCATTGGAAATGCGTGGAGACGCGCAGACAACAGACCTAGCCGTTTAGTAGCTTTGGAAGCCCGTTTCTGACGCGGCGTTATGGGTGCACCCTCGTATTTAGGCCAGAAATACGTCCGCCGAGCTCATTAATACAAGTTATATAGCTCAAAATTTCTATATTAGAGGGTCCTGAGAGCCATGGAACTAGGGAATTGAAGAAATTTGAGACTGAACCTCTGGACCGGACTTGGGGCTTCCAGTTCTGAGTAATTTGGATGCAATCGGGTTTGAAAGTGGCACTATTTGAGCCATTTTGCAGAGGGATGGTTTTTCAAAATGGCTACTTTTCTGGACGCAGACATTTTCTGCACTTGAGGGGTGGTCTGCTTCTGTTGAAATTTTCTCAAAAAGTCCTTGGTTAACCCACCGAAAATTGAAAGGAAAATGAAAGAGGACATGTGGAACATCATTTTTCTGTGCAGCCTGTACACCTGTGAGAGTTGTGAGTATTTTAAAAATATTTGTGAAGTTTGGAGATTCATCACTGCTGTCTAGGGGGCCTATGGGAATTTATTTCTAGTGGTGAACCCTCATCCGCAAATTCTTCGGGGTGCAGTGCATAATATACGTGAACAGCTGATTTTTTAAACAAAAACTTTCATATGAGAGCAGAATGGTTATAAACTTCGGTTGAAAAATGGTCCAAAGTGCCCCCGACAATTGAGGGTTGTCACTTGAAAAACGGCTGCAAGCAGACTTCGGACAAATCATTTTTGGGGGGGGGGTGATTATGTTTTCAAGTTGTGGGAATAATTGAAACTGTAATTGGTTGAACTACTAAAATTGAAAAGAAAGTAAAAGATTAGGAACAAGATATAATTTAATTTGTGTTTCAGAAATATAAGGGATGTCGTTTTGCATGTTATTGGCTGATTTGGGCCGCCAGTGCTTATTTACACTGTTTCAACGGGGCTTCACGTCCACTGCACTTCCGCGCATGCGTAAGGGCCTTTGGTTACTATTGTAGCGTGTCCTACTGATAGGGTTCTGACGCTTACACGGACGCACGCACCCAAGTGTGTATTATATTTGTCTGCAACTGGGTAGCCACAAATCGCCGTTCCGGCCAAGAAACTTTGGGTGTATTTCTCTTACGTTACAACACTGTCGATCCAAAAGCTCTAGACACGAGGCGTCTAGGCGGGGACTGCGCAGGCGCGAGGCGGGAAAACGGCGGGCCGTTCGGGGTGCACCACTACAAATAAATTCCCATAGACAGCAGTGATAAATCCCCATACTTCACAAATATTTCAAAAATACTCACAAATCTCACAGGTGTTCAGGCTGCACAGAAAAATGATGTTCCACATGTCCTCTTTCATTTTCCTTTCAATTTTCGGGGGTTGACCAATGAATTTTTGAGAAATTTTCACCAGAAGCAGACCACCCCTAAAATGAAGAAAATGTCCCTGCCCAGAAAAGTAGCCATTTCAGTTGAAAAACCATCCCTCTGTAAAATGGCCAAGTAGTGCCATTTTCGGACCCAACTGCATCCAAATTACTCAGAATTTGAAGCCCAGAGTCCGGGCCAGTGGTTCAGTACCATATTTCTCCAATTCCTCAATTTCATGGCTCTCAGGACTCTCTAATATAGAATATTTTGAGTGTATAACTTTTATTAATGAGCTCGGCGGACATATTTAGGGCCTAATTACCAGGGTGCACCCTTTACATACGTATACCAGCGGGCAGCTAGCTAGTCCCATGCGGGTCCGAGCTGGCGCCAAGTACAAGTAAATCTGTTAACGTGGTAGACGCTTGCGATTCCAAACATTGTTTATATTCTAATTATATCTATCGATGTAATGATTGCAAAAAATGTAACTGTTGTAAATTTTGTGACGAATGCAAACCTTGTGAATGTTGCAAAAACTGTGATTTTTGTATCAATTGCACTAATTGTATAGACTGCATAGAATGCATTGATTGCACCGATTGCGCCGATTGCGACAATTGTTATTGTTGTACTGGTTCCAATAATTGCATCGAATGTAATAACTATACCTATTGTAAATATTGCATTAACTGCGAAGACCTAGACGGCGAATCATTTTTAATATTTGTATATGACGACAGTACTGGTTGTGGTTGCTACAAAAGGATGAGATTTAGAACACCAGACAACAACGATTCCTACCCAGAATAGAAAAACTCGGCTTAATAATTGAATATGACAAAGATGTGTTTCCTCCAACTCAACCTTTACTCGAAGACCATTCTACATGTTTAATTGACGTGGCAGATTAACCCCAGAAAAAATGAAAAATATAATAGCCTATATTATAAAACCAGAGCCATGTCAAACCAAACTTACATCTCAACGAACGTCTCAATGCCCGAAACGCAGACCCAAACGTCGTATAAGGACCCTTTGAACTCGACAGACTTGTGATAGAAAACCCCGTAGTTAAAAAGAGGGACAAACATACGCAACATTATTCGCCCATCAACTGTTGATCATACTTCCAAAAACACTCTGCTACGGCGTGAATCATGCTTAGAAATAAGGCGTCAAGGAAAAAACTCCCGAAAATATCATTGGGCAACAAATCTGCTATGAACTTCAACAGCCTACGATGGATATACTCCGTCGATCATATCAACTTTGCGGCTTACAAATACATCAGCACGCAAACAGTTAACATTCCACCCAATACGATCAACGCTTACAGAGCCAGTCACGATATAGAAGACCTAAAAAGGGTAGAATATGTGGTTAAACCTGGGTACACCGACAAGATCAGCATGTATGTCAAGTTACCTAACGCAACTATGCTGTTAGACCAACATGGAAATCAAATAACACAAGATTAACTCGATAAGAACATCGCTAAACTTTGTGACGTGGTTTCTTTGATTTTTCCCAAAGATGTATACTACGGCACACATGGAGCCCTTGCGGAGCCGGCGTCTGGTATTGAAATGAAAAGGTTGTTTTTAAAGATCAATAACCGCAATGTCATTTCGAATAAAACAGCATTGCAATTATTATTGGGATCTGACAGTGACTCCAAGTAGTTAAAATTTAAGCCTCGTTATCCTTGTGGTAGCGAGGTTTTTACGTCCTCAAATAAATAAACGTTTAAAAGTGGACGGCTATTACATGTATTTAACATCGTTTACGAGAGAGTTGTATGCTTTACTGAACGTAAAGCCACCCAAATCAGCATATGTGAAAATCGAAAAAGACACATACTCACATGCGAATAAAAGAATAAAAAACGGACATATAATGCCTCGATTGTTTTAGAGGATTACAGCCTTATACAGATTTTGAAGTAGCAAATCTGAAACAAAGAAAATATTTAAACAATTAGAAATTCAATTGACTACCAAACAAGCGGGTGTCATAGAAAACAAATTAAACCAAGTTTTAGCAGGTAAAATCTCGAGAGGCAAACCACTTTGCGCTTTAATTGCTGTATGCTATCAAGACGTGCCAAAAAAAAAACTGCAGATAAAGTAAAAGACCTATTTCAAGTCTTGGAGAAACACTTTTCCGATGCCGTCAATAAATTTAAAACCGGCTAATTATAAAATGGAAATGCATTCTTTTTATTTGACCAAAAGCGAGCAGACGTAGTGGATTAGAAAATACCATCAATAATTTAAAGGAGTGGAAAAAAAACTTTCACCCGGGATACTTGAACATTACAAAATCCACCGAATTCGAATGACGAACTCAGGTCGAAGGAAGGTCTCCTGAAAGGGGAGCCAAAGGAGTTAGAGAACGCCAACCGCGAGCAGCAAATACAGAACCTCCTAGTCAAGATGGTATTATAAGATTCGCAAAAGCACTTGAACTTACAGTGCCGTTGTCAGAATTAGAGGCAGACAGTTTAGTTTTCCTTTATGATCTAATAAGAGATTATATTCGAGCATAAGCTGGGAATTCAGAAAAATTTAAAGGTACTATTTTTCCAAAAACAAATGTCCTCAGCAATCAAATGAGAACGTTAGTAGGCCATCGTTCAAGATTAAAAACGATAGAAGCCGAAGCATTTGATAAAGATAAAGATGACACTATAGTTTATCTAATCATTTTATCACAAGAAAAAAGCGATACTATTACACAAGCCCGCTGCATCGCTTTGAGATTCATTCGGGAAGGGTTCATAAGCGTCGACAATGAAGAAAGAAAGAGAACCATTAGAGCCACACAACCTGACGACAGAGACACTCTTTTCGTTACGACTTCTTGTTTTAATGCCCCAGTGATGCATCGGTTGCACAAGAGAGAAGACTCCTGGTGATTTTTTGCAAGGAGGAGAACTTGGTGGTATAATCATTCCTCCAGGGTTTTGCAACGTGGATTGGTTCGATTTCATTTTAAAAGCTATTCCGGGTGTGAGTTTTAAAGTTCACCGAGACTCAAACTTAGTGACAATTATGATAACAAATTTAAATCTCAAATTGCGGTTAAGCAAAGAAGTCGGTAAACTGTTAAATTTACCGAGAGGTAGGTTCGTTTTCAAATGTTATTTACAAAGAGAAGATAAATACAAACCCTTTCAAGGAGGCTTTGAATACAGTGCCGAGAAATAAACAACCATTTTAATTTTTTTAACAGACAGCCTTCATGTGTATTGTGTAGCACGTTTGACCCAAGCAAAACTAGTTTTGAATTTTCGTTAAGAAACGAGCGAGGAGAAGTCATCAACAATAAAGACGACACAATTTTAATTGAGCTAGATATCTTTTAAAACGCGTATGTAATCAAAAGAGATGGCAACAAACATTCAGCCGAACATATACCCTAAGCTAGAGTTAAACGGA